ACGTCGGAATATTCGATTTTAAAAAACAAAAGTGACAGAAGCGACAAGAAGCATCCAGGAACAGCTCTTCCAGCCTGCTGGAATCTCCGCTCCCAGACACAGCATGCCGGTCTCTCACGCCGAGGAAAAGAAACAAAGAAAACTCCCTCAAAACAATCCAGAGAATGGCGCACACTGAGCCGCACATCCTCCACCAAATCTGTCAGGGATTCAGCAGACAAAGACGGATCGTGGTGCGCCAAACTCTGGAAGTTTATTTACGTTTCTCTCAAGTTCCACTGGTTTCCATTTGTTTCTTTCCCTCAGACAGAATAAAGGCAGTACACAGTTTATATAGTCAATGTCACGTCACACATCGAAAGACATACGTGTCACAAAGAGACAGTCAAATCATAGTCATAACATGGAGTCCTTGTAGAGTCCTTGTACAGTCCTGCACGTAGGCCATATTGCTATCTAATACTAACAGGTCAATATCGGTATCGGCAGAAACCCATAGTTTCGGTATCGGTAGTAAAAAAGCTGGATCGGTGCATCTCTAGTATAGAGCAGTCAAATATGTCCACAACACTTATATATAGTAACATAGAGTTCTTATGTTTTGTCCTTTTCTGTTAAATGTCTCCAGATGGTCACTGGCAAAAGTATTTGGAAAAAATAGCTCACCAGGAATTATTGACATGTTTTTAGTCCTACTCTTTTACACACTGTCTGTCTTTGTTTTCTCACCTGTGTGTGTCGACCCTGGGCAACAGTGTGGAAAGGTTGGTGTGTTGTTTGAACCAGCGACGACTTTTTACCATCGGGAAGACGTGAATGTGTCAAAATGAAACTTTCAAAATAATACTTAATGGGGTCACTGTTGTAAATATGTGTTTTAGGGCTTTGTCTATTTTACTCATTCTGTATAATGTGTCGCACTGTAGGGAAAATCTCAACCAGTGACAGGAGTTTAAAAGTAGCAATGGCTATACACTGTACATTGACTACGTTGTCCCTGTCAAAGGAATAAAATAAGTTTTCCACAGTCTCAGCGCAGTGCACCCAGGAGCAGAGGGAATCACATCATAATGGACTACAGCTAGGTTTAACATCCACATGGAGCCATTTAAACATTTAACATGTATATATATTTATGATATTTTCCATTATTTATGCTAAATATATATACAAGGAGAGAGCGGCGTGTGCTGGTTTGGGGGTTAAAGCTTCACTCTTGTTCTCGTGTCCCACTTACAAGCAACAGGATATAAAACAGATTGTTTTGTATTGGTCTAAATTGCTTCTTTATTTGCTTGTATTGTTCCCACTTCGGCCAAAAAAGTACCCCCTGAGGTTGTTTTTAAAAGGCAAACTTGTTCTTTCAACCCACTAGCTTGGGATGTAAGGGAGGGAAGTCATGGAGGTTTTCGGTAACACTACGACTCCCAGAATTTGGAAACTACTTGAACTCTGAGACGCTATTTTGACTGCTCCCACCAAACCAATGGAATTCTGAGAAATTTCCCCAAAAATGTTTTGTTTTCAACCACTAGACTTCTTGATAGACAAGGTGTAAATGCATCCAATGAAACGTTTGTATGTCTACGGACAATGACCATTATCCGCTTTCTAACACCTATTTCAATCAATCAGTCTTTATCTATAGAGCGCTTTTTCTACACAGGGTAACACAAAGCTCGTCACAGTCCACACCACATAAAACAAACACCAAAATCTCCATTAAAAACACAAATAACATTACACATCTAATTAAAATCACACAAGGGATTACAAAGATGCATTATCTACTTATTATCCTGCCCTATACGTACAGTATATAACTCTACACTACTACATCTATATATATATTTTTTTTCCGAAAGACTGGAATTGAAGAATTTACAGCTAGTTAAGAAACATGGCTACTACTTATTTTGTGTGCTCCCTGTGTGCTCTTACTGCTGTCTGGATTGTGCGCTGCAACATTGAAATTTCCCACCGTGGGACAAATAAAGGATCTCTTATCCTATTAAAAAGAGTAGAGATTAGACCCTTCGGTTGTAGCACAGGCAAAAAACTGTCTTTAACCTGGATTTGAACATCACAAAAAATGAAGCCAGTCTCGCGTCCTCAGGAAGACCGTTCCAGATTATAGCTGCATAAATCTGAAACGCTGCCTCCCCATGTCTAGGTCTGACTCCGGGCACCAGCAGAAGGCCAGTCCCTGTGCTCCTCAGAGTCTGGGCTGTGTTATTTGACCATATGTATTATAATGTTATTTGTTTTTAAGGATTATTAGTTAAGTTTGTGAATTTGCAGCATTGTAAATATATCTCCATCTTCAAAAAGCGTAGTTTTATATAAAGTTGTGCTGTAGGTCAAACATGTCTATGCTAAAGTATTGTTATTGCCTGGTTTTAAACTGTATTTAGGTCCTGTTTTCAAACTTTCACATCAAATTCATTTTCTTTTTCTCCTCCGTCAGCAAAAACAGTGAGAGCTTCAGGAAGAGTGAGTCACGACATCCCTGACCACTGGCAACAAACTATAGAAAATATTTGCAGAGAAATACCTCTCGACTTCTTCTCAATAACGGCGTCATTCACATACGTAAAGCATTCCCGTCCACTTTTCTCACACACTGAGACTTGACAATTACGCTACAGGAATCTGCACATTCCGCAAACTTCATCAGTCTCTAATTTTCTTTACGTAAAATGCTGAATTCTTGGCGCGTTTCTCTGGGGCCTTGTTTTCATTTTAGCGTCAATAGCGGTCTTTTGTTGCCGGATTAGAGCCGACATGTCAAATTCTTTACTTGACTGATTTCCAAAAGGCAAGGAGAGTTTATTTGTATAGCACAGTTTATATACAAGGCAACTCCAAGTGCTCAACAAAACAACAATCATACAAGGCATTTCAGTCATAAATAATCACAGTACATTACAAAGAGTGAAGATACAAAGCTTCAGTTGTGTGCAGCTAAACCGAACTTTTAAACCCGGATTAGAATTATTTATTTATTTATTTCGAACCGGCACAATACTTATTTTTTCAAATATCAATATAACAGACAAATCAACTTATACCTTGGCTTGATTTCAGATTGAGTTAATCAGACATTTTTAACATTCAGTACATGACATTAGAAAACGTATACATATCATGTCTGAAATGGAATAGGCAGAAGCTAAAACTTTTTGCGCCTATGCCTATTTCCAAAACAAAAATAGCTGCTCTCTTGCCCTTGGCCTGGGCCATGGTTTGAACAAGCCTGTATGTGCGAACCTATTCAATATCAAATATACAGAACACAATAATTGTGAAATACTATGCAAGCTACTGTGACCATGCAATTTCACCACTTGTGAATCAATAAAGTATAAGGCCTTGGATTTAACTTGAGAATCAAGAAAGCAATATGAAACTTTTTCAGGCCCTGATGTAGCTGTTATGACGACTTTAGTTCTAAGTTAAGATGTAATTTAGCAACCTCTTACTTTGCCCAAGGATTCCCTAGTTGAAACCTGTGTTTGTCAAATCTCTTGAAGGATCCTGTGAGAAGTTGCTGAAATCAAGTGTGATTGAGTGAAAGTCTTTTGAATATTACATTTTTCAGAGACCTGTAAGCCATAAGCAGCATGTCTCATACTGCATACCAATTTAATACTATTAAATACCATTAAATCTCATTGCATCATTGCCCAAGGACACTTCAGAGCTATTAGACCATAGGCAGGTCAAAATCATTGCTATGTGTTTGTTATTGTGTTTTGAACGGTTTGATTCTCTGATTTGTTGAATTGACAACATTGTAAAGTCCTCATAGCCGATTACTGTTGTGATTTAGGACTAAACGCATTGAATGGATAAACGAGAACTGTGGCAACCTTTTTTGACTACAGTAGTATAAAAATGGCTGGGTACTATTTAAAGGTGACATACCGAAGGGAAATAAATGTTTTTGGTTAGACCAAAAACTGGGCTTGAGTTCAGCGAGGAGCAAGCTGAGGTCAGACACTTTTGCTGACTCTGGATAAATTAAATAAATGAATGGAATCCTCACACACACACACACACACACACACAAATAAATCTAGTTAATGGTAACATGGTAACATCTGGTAACATCTAGCACTAAGGGCAGGTTGATCATTCTAAAAGATATGGTCATGTGACAATGTGGGCTGTGGCCTAGTAATGAGGTTTACCGGGCAGTAGGGGGCGGTAGCTTAGTAGCAGTTCCACATTTTACGTCTACTGCTTGCCGTACTTCTTGGTTCTGCTGGTGTTTGTTGCCCATTGTTGTTTCCCCTGTCGTTCTTTGGCTCCCGGGTAACTATTGTCACTGCAAGATACTTCTGCCGTAAGCTTAGTATTGTTTCATCAGATAAATGGCGTCAGAATTTCAGGATAGTAAATGGGCATGTGCAGATTAAAGGGGACAAAAGTGTGACAAAGGCCAAAAGTAGATTTTAAGAATCACAAGACATGTTTATGTATCCAAATCCCTCTTCAGTCCATTAGAACTAGAAGAGAACTGTTGTATACATTAGTCACATGTTCTATAGTAACTGCCTCTGTGTCTGTGATCCTTTGAATGAGCTCAAGTTTGTTTCATATTTTCAGATCCGCATTTGATTGGATCACAAGAGATTCTTTTTTTTACACAGAGTAGAAACAAAATTATCACTTTCTCAAGTAAAATTTTTTAGAAAAGAATTGATGGAAACCATCACGTCTGTTACACATTTTTTCAAGGCTCATTTCAATTTGTATTGATTTTTTTTAATGAAGTGATTTCCAGATGTTGTGTTAATGTGAATCTGTGGCGTTCAACTTTGTCTCTGACCTTTTACTTTCTGTCACTGAGTCACAGGAGAAAGATTCAAGTTTTTGAGTTTTAACCTTTTAAAGTCCAGATACACCTTGATGTTTCTTCCTATGACACTGAACCAAATTGCTATAACAACATTTTGACTCTGACTGTAAAAATGATGTCTTTTGTGTTTGTCCAGATGCGGGGGCACGGTCGGAGCCATTTTGACGTGTCCTCTGGAGGTGGTGAAGACGCGGCTGCAGTCTTCCTCCATCACACTCTATGTGTCTGAGATGCAGCTCTCCACGGTCAATGGAGCCAGTGTGGCCCGAGTGTCGCCCCCCGGACCCCTGCATTGCCTCAAGTAAGACCCCACCCCACCACCTCACGCGGAGTCACATGTTTGTGGCTAATCTAGGGCTAGGCAATAAATCGTATTTTGGCAATTAATCAGCTTTTGAAAAAATCAAATTTTGTGAAAATGGTGAAATGGAATGAAGGATATTGTTAGAGTTCCAGGAGCACATGAATTATACTTACAATATCAGAACAGTTTGTACAAACTGTTAATTTTAAACAAATTAAAAATAGTTTTGAAACTTGAATATTGAGCAGAAAGATCAAAACATATTTTTAAGGGCAAAGTCTGTATTTGAATGAAATTTGGTTTACAATCGAAATCGTCAATAGCAGCAGGAAATAAAATTGAGATTTTACTTTTTTGCCATATCACCCAGCCCTAGCCTAATCCATAGCATTGTAGCGTGGATGGATCTAAAACCGACTCCAGGTTTGACTTTGATTAGAGAACAGGGTTGTAAACGAGTTAAATGTCAGTATTATGCATAATGTCTCCTTTTGTCTCACTACACCTGATTGTAGGCCTGGACTAGTCAATAAAGCAGTTGGTTTTGATAAGGATTGGTTTATAACGCTTTGACACGATCCACAAAACTCATGAGTCATCTCTGCAAATCTTTTTTATTGTTGTGTTTATTTAATTCTATCTAATTAAATACTTTCTTTGCTGAGTCATGCTGCTGTTCGACAGGTTTCAGATCGTCTGTCACCTGCGTCTCCGCCTCTGGCCAGATAAGGCCATGACTAAAATGTTACTGCGTTCCTCCTGGATTCACGAGCAGAATAAAACATTTCTTAGTCGAAACGTGACCTGTGGCTGTGTCTGCATCTAATTATAATAGAGCTACTTTTACATTATCTGCTTTAGGCCACAACTACATCTATTTTTAACTACATTCTCTCTACCGAATGATCTTTTAGACTAGATTTGAACCAGGTATTTTCCTGATATCTATTATCGGAGTATATTTTATGTTTTTAAAGTAATACATTTGCAAGGGGTTCATGGTTTCTGCTCCTCGTCTCTATTATGTGTGTGTCCTATGTTTTTAAACCAAAACATTTGCCAATAATACAAAAACAAAGACCAGGCCGTGGTTCAAACATTCTCAAATACTTCCCATGTTTTTTTTGTTCCAGGATGATTATGGAGAAGGAAGGTCCTCGCTCTCTTTTCCGAGGGCTGGGACCAAACTTGGTGGGGGTGGCTCCTTCACGGTAAGATACCGTTTTACACAGCTATTCTCTTCTCTACACTCTCCTTATACATGTGTCCATCTGTATCCAGTCACAGTATGCTTATCTTAAAAGGGAAATTGTCTGAAAATGACAGATCATGACTATTTACACGTCATAATAATAATAATACATCAAACTTGTATAGCACTTTTTTGGACACTCTAAGTCGCTTCACAAAACATATAAAATAAACTTAGAAGGGCAAAGATTAAGGAAGAGCTAAAACAGGTGGGTTTTGAGAAGTGATTTAAAGTTCTGTAGTGAGTCGGAGTTTCTGATGGTTGAGGGAGTGAGTTCCAGAGAGTGGGGGCAGCTGCAGCGAAGGCTCGGTCCCCCAAGGTTCGATGTTTGGTCTTGAGGTGTTCTGTGAGGGTCTGAGTCTGGATTTGAGGCCGGGGGGAGAGACTGTGATGATGGAGGAGGTCAGTGAGGTAAGCAGGAGCAGGTTTTGGAGGGACTGGGTGGGCCAGATTATTCTATGTCTCATGTCAGTACTTGTCACAGGAGGTGGAGTGAGCACGCGTTTTGACGTCTCTGCTCTGTTTACCCTTTTTAAGCCTTTTAAAGCCTTTTAAACACGTTTTTACGGTGTTTTAGTGTCTTTTGTACACTCTAGTGTTTTATTACCTTAAATGCAATGGTTCCAGAGCATCACGTCTTTTAACACAAAGACCCAATCGAAACGCGCTAGCTCGGAGGCTACCACGAGCGCACCACAGACATGGAAAGTGACACTGCAATGACCACGAACGACATTAGTCGCCTCACATTGGAGCTTCGTGAGAGGGACCGTGCCACTATTGCAGACCTCCGTAAAGAAGTCCTTCGCCTCACTGCAGAGCTGCAGGATAAACAGTCACTCGTGTCCAAACTTTTTGATGTCGCTGGCGGGCAGCACTCACGGCTTATGTCACTGAGCGCTGCATACTGTGACACTGTCGTGTGGGAGAGATCTGTCAGCTCTGGGCCCTCTTGTTCTACACCTAGGTGCCCGGTTCGGAATAAAGAGCCTGCGGACTGCGAGGAGCCATCCAGCGCCGTGGCCCATGTTCTGAGCCTGTCAAACCGCTATGCAGCCCTCTCCGCTGACATCCCAGCCCCCTCAGCAGAACCCCTGGACTCTGCAGCAAACTCTACTGCTGTCCGTGGATCCAGGTCCACTGCGAGAAAGACACTCCTAAAGGAAGCTGTCCTCAGACGAAAGAGTGGTCATTCCCCTTCTCTGACCCCAGTGCATCACCACCACTTACCTTCACCGGGTCAGCAGCAGCGACCCGAGCCTGCTCCTCTCGCCGCTCCAGCGTCTCCGTGCACACAGCGTGGGTTGCCCGGAGCTGGGAATCAACACCCCCACTCCTCTCCATGTGTTCAGCAGCGCCCTGGTTCGGACCCATCCCTGGATGAGCCCGCTGGTTCTGGCCATGGACACCGAGCGCCCTCTCCGCGGCCGCGTCCACTCTTCGCCCCGACTACTCTGATTGTTGGAGATTCCATCGTGAGGCACGTCCGCTTTTTTAACGCGGTCACTCACTGCATTACCGGAGCTACTGTCCCAGATCTGCTCATCCGTCTCCCTCCTCTGCTTCACTCCCTGCCCGATACCATATCCAAGGTAATCGTGCATGTGGGTATAAATGATATGAAGCTGCAGCAGTCAGAGGTCACAAAGAAGCACTTTATGGATCTGTTCCGCCTCCTCCAGTCCTCCGGGTTATCCGTTTTTATTTCTGTTCCAGTCCCGACTGGTAAACCGGGGTGACTGCCTCTACAGTCGCGTGTCTCCAGGAGTATGCAGAGTTCCTGAGCTCTACCAAGTGCAAAAACAGGAATTAGGACCTGTAAAAAATGTTGAAAAAAATTAATATACATTGTTACATTACAGCATTGTAACTCTGCACATATAAAAAAAAGCAATTCATACAGTAAGTTAAACACAATGTAAAAGGCAATGTCACATGACACTGCACAGAGGCAAAGGCACTGTTGTGCTGCTGTCCTCAACACCTTTTTTTCTAAGGAAGATTTTGAATTTTAAATGAGATTACATTTTCAATTAGAATTGTTTTATTTGGTCTTTCCATTTCACTAAAAAAACAGTTTACAAATTTCAATGTGATTAAAATTTTAAAAAATCACATTCACCTTATTTTCAAGCCTAAAATTCAATGCACTGAAAAATTAAATGAAAAAAAAAAAAGACGGATTATTTGTTCCATCAGAAATTGAATTTTAAATTAACCTAAATTAATCTATTAGAATTTTTTATAAAATTCTTTTTTTAATCTTGAATATTTTTGTCTGCAAAAAACATTAGTCATTTAAAAAAAAAAAAATTATTCTATGCATATATATTTAATTCAATAGTCTAATTTTGCTGTAAAAAAAATATGATGGTGAAAAATTCACACGACACATCCAATGTTCCGACGTGTTGTGTGCTCTGTCAGTTGGTCAATTTTTTATTTTTTTTATTGACAATAATGCAAAAAATCATATCTTCTAACTCTCTTTCGCAATATTATTGTCTATGATATATATCGCCCACCCCTAGGTCCAACGGTCCGCCCTCTAAACTGTGGGTCGGTCAACAACAACCGGGAAAAGGCCCGTTATGCTTGATTACACGTCCAGGACAGCTATACATAAAAAAATTGTTTTCTTATCATAGTACATGTTGATTCAGTGTAAAATGCAACGTTCACCTTTCCTCCTCTTTCTATTGATTCGTGAACTTTCTTCAAAAAGTCCCTCTCTCTGCATCTCTTTGAGTCTCTGATGGTCGTGGCATAAGTCGACTCCGAGATTAGGATGTCTGGACGGCACTTATCAATCCATGCAGCACTGAGAGAGGAAATATCACAATTAAAAAATAATTGTATACATTTGCAATCAAAACAGCAGCCTGTAGAGAAAATGGGACTTACCCTAAATGTCTGTCAGGGGTCATGTTGTAGTCTCCCTAACAAAGAAGAGACATTTCTTTCAACCATCACTAGTTATTCTTAAATTATATGTATGCTGTATGAAGGATTCATGAATTCGTTTTTTATTTATCATTTATGACAGACTAAAGGAAAGAAATGAATCTATAGTAGCTCTTGTGAAAAAGAAAAACAGTTCTTTTAAAATACTGTTGCACTCACAGTATAGACCACAGACTCTGAGCCCACTTTGATCTGCACCATGGCGGCTCCCAGAACGTGTCCTGCGTAGTACGCTTTAATCTCCAGCTCATCGTCCACCTGCCACAGACAGCGTTTAATGTTTATATGTACCATCAAACGCACACAGCTGCTGCACACGATTCACCAGGATCAAAAAGTAAAACAAAAAAACAGACAGACTTCAATAACAATATGCTTTGGGAATTTGATGCCTTTGAATTCTCGCCCATTTCAAATATAGTTAAAGTAGGGGTGGGCAGTATAGACAAATCAAAGCCATTTTTTTTGCAGTGCCAGAAGTTGATTTTGCAAACAGCAGATTATATATATATGATACCATGAGTTAATCTTTCCAATGTATTTCCATAACAATATTCACATAATAATGTTGCTATAGACACATGTACCAACCATACCAACACTTTTGCATACCTTCAAAACAACATTTTTTTATATCCAGTCTACCGCACTATAAAAGTTCAAATCCAATGTAAACTTTTTTGGATCAAGTAATTCTATGATCAAAACCCATCATTAAAAAAGATAGAAGATAGTAGATGATACGCCTGGAAAAGCTGAGTATCGTTTTTGAAGGAAAAATAAAGATGATATTTAGATCAGTGTAATCCCTCTTTTGTCAATAATGTTACAGAATATCTGTACACTGTTTTGTAGTGAAAACATTACGTCATTCCAAAAGTCCTTCATTTTGGGAATAAACTGGATTTCATTTTTGTTTGACAAATTTTCTACTTCTGATGGCTTTGTTGCAAGATCATACACACATAAAATGTCAAGTTACTTTGTCATGGGCTCCTTACCTGTACAGTCTGATGAAGATTCAGAGGCACAACTTTTTTCATACAATCTTTGATCATCTGTGAAGTGAAGAAGTTTGTCTCGCCCTTTTTGTCGACTGTGATTTTGCGGAAGTCTTCAAGCAGAATAGGGCAAATGGCTTTGGTGGGATGTGTCATGTATATGGGACCGTCATAACCCACCATCTCACTCATGTAAGGCAGAGCGCCGCAGTGGTCCAGGTGGAAGTGACTGGAAAATAAAACACATGGCTCTGTTTATATGCAGCCGTGAATCAATGAGGAGCACAGGTGTGTGACTGTGCTGAGGTTGAGTGCTGGTGGGTAGAGAGGGAGGACTCAGTGGCAGGCACCATGCCTCTTTTTCTCTTCCAGTCACAATACATATAAACATGATAAAAAGGTAAGAATTATGATCATTTATTATGCTAATAACTAGATTAGTTTGAAAAACAAAAACTAATAAAAGACATTGGTTTGAAATCTAATTTGAAGCCTATATTTGATTGTAGTAAAATATATACTAAAATATATAATATATACTGAATAGTTTATGTGTTCTTTAGAAGTTTGGGGAATCATAAATCATTTTTTTATGATAATTGTACAGGAATTAGTACATAATTCACAACAATTGTCAGCAAACAGGAAAATAAAGATGACTAAATATTTCCACTATTCTATTATCTGTTTACTGATTACTAAATTATCATTTGTAGCACCCCCATTCTTCATTCCCTATTAAAATGTACACTTAGAGCACTGATGGTCAATGGCTTGGCAAGCTAATCAAAGCCCAAATTGGAGTTTGGCTTTGAAGGCCAACAAAAAGCCAACAGTTTCATAATCTTTTATAGTTACGGTGCATTTAACTGAATTGTGTAGAAACCTACTCTTGAGTTTGACACTCAAGGTGGCGTGAGCCAGAATAAATGCAACACATTACCTGATTATGACACAGTCCAAGAAGTCTGTCAAACGGCCATTCTGCGTTATATAGGAAAAGTCTGGAAAGCGTCTCTGAATAAAGAAATAAAAAGGTGAAAATAGACAATGAACAGTAGTTCATTTAAATTATTAACTGTGTTTTAAATAGCATGTGTATAGTTAATTATAAAAGGACAAATCACGGCATAATGTATACTCACATCATCATTGTATCCCATATGCATACCACAGTCAAGCATGATGTTTTTGCCCCCAATGGACACGAGTATACAGCTGCGTCCCACATCCTGTCCAGCACCTTGGCAGTCAAATAATAGGACAGATGTTTAACTTCGTTTTCAGTTCACACAGCTTCAAATTAAGGGTAGCAGAAAAAACTTTCACACTAATCACTGATACAGATCATAGATGATTTAGTTTGAACAACAATGCTATATGCATACTGCTATCAATACCAGTTTTAGAAGATTTACAAGTTAGACAATTCAAAACAATGTGTGTTATGTTGACAGTCGTACCCTGTGTAGCTAGCCACTTCACTTACCCAATGGTGTTACATTTATCTCAGGCATATTGGCATCAATTACCAGCTCGTTTAAGTTGTGTTTTAGATGGAGATTTGCGTGGATAAAATTACCACTTCTTAATAAGAGCTAAATCTATTGTATTCATTGAAATGCTTATTATTTGACTTCTGAACATGCTAACGTTGTGCCCATGGTAAATACGTCCAGATCTGGAGATAGCCTTCAGCGTAAAACTCAACAAGCTTGTCCACGCAAGCGTTACATCCAAATAACAACGTTTTAGTGTGGATTTATTTAAGGTAAATAATATATATCTGGTATATGGCAGATATATTGTAAATAATTGTTATTTTAATGCATCCTGATCGCAGATATTCCAGTTATCTATTTTACTTTGAAATTATTGTCTGCTTCCGGCGTGTTGTATTTCGAGTCTGCGCAGTGGAGATGGATTAGAGCAGCCCCGGTGTTTCAAGGGATCGATCGCTCACTTTGATCTCTTCATTTTACAGGTAAATAATATCATTGTAGACTCTACGTGTGTAGATTTATTTAGAGTAAATGCGTCACTCCTATTTCATCTCCTTGTTCATTATAATTGGGAGATTGTTTTTGTTTCTTTTTCAGTGCGAATAAAAGAAAACCATGGCTGATTCAGTGACATCAGATGATCAGAAATTTTGCTTTAAGGAAGTGCTCGACGCCTTCAGGTTATGCCTGTCTGAAAACAAGGAGGTTTACATGGAACACTACGTAGCTGGGTGGCGAGGTTTGGTCAAGTGAGTAATTATATGACTATAATATAAACCAATCAATTGACAAATTATACTTAACCTGTTCTCATCATTGCTGGGTTATATCACGTGACTGACATATTAACTTATAATTTTGAAGAAAGAATACATTATACATTTCTGAAAGTTTCATGGACCGTACCAACTAAGTATGTATATTACTATACACAGTTATTGAACTGGGATATTTTTCATTAATAGTGTGAGAAATTCATGGAAATCTATGTTTGCAGAAAGTTGTGCAGCTCGTTCTAGTGTTAAGGCAGTGGAATTCCTTGATGAATGGTGGCGTCACAATGGATTAAATGCATTCATAGTGGCAAAATCATTTAAAGGCTATTGCTTGTATTTTGCATCTGAAAAAGAATGTTGGCCAACTGCGTTTTTACTGTAAAGTCCTGATATCATGGGAGTTGGCTCTTCTACAATGTCCTGGATCACTGACTACTTGTATGGCAGGCCTCTGCAGTGTGGGTGTGGAGCACTCAGGAGGAGCTCCTTAGGGTACAGTACTGTCCCTGATCCTGTTCACTCTACACATGTAATTTCACTACAGTTACAGTTCCTGCCACCTGCAGAAGTTTTCAGATGACTGCTGTGGTCGGGTGTTAATGGGATTGGCAAAAATGAGACCTCCACAACTTTTTACAAGCATGACATTTTCTTTTGACAGGTTCCTGAACACATTGGGGAGTGTTTTTGGCTTCATTTCCAAAGACGCCGTAGGCAAGGTTCAAATTTTGGTCAGTCTCCTCAAAGGTGAAGATGGCTCTCACTACTCTACCATCCAGTCTATGGTGAAATACGAGCTGGAGAACCAACTTGTGGACCTGACCAAGGCCGGAGCTCACCCAACATCTGGTTGCCGCACCCTGCTGAGACTGCACCGTGCCCTGAGGTGGCTGGAGCTGTTCTTGGACAGTTTACGGACCTGCAGTGAGGACAGTAAGACGTCGGTGTTGTGCGCAGACGCTTACAACAAGTCGTTGTCAAAGTTTCATCCCTGGGTGGTGCGCAAAGCCGCTGGAATGGCCTTCTGCCTCCTGCCCGGGCGGCAAGCATTCTTTGATGTTATGAATGTCGGGACCACAGAGCAGGTGGTTGCCATGTTGGGAGAAGCCATTCCTCTCATTAGTGAAGTGTACCAGATCACAGAGGACCTCTATGCGCAACACAACATACTAGACATACCATAGAAGGAGGAGGACTTGCACCGGTATGGCCTATGTCGAAGAAGAAAAACAACCTTTTATGGACTGTGGGGGAACAAATATTTAAATGTATTACTTCACGTTAGTTTTTACATCTGAACTATAAAATGGAAATAAAGTATAATATATATAAACCGAACTGTGCTTTTAAAAAAAAAAAATTATCCTATCAAAATGAATACCAAAAAAAAAAAAAACTCAAAGCATTCCGCTGACTTTACTGAACTTCTAAAATACTGTTGATCATGCACAGTACTAATACTAATTATAATGCATGAGTAAGTAAGTAAACTACTGCTGTAGCCACCCCTGGGCAGCCTGACAAAAGTAGTATGTGTTGTCCATAGCATGCAACACAAAAACAAGAAAATACTTTTTGCTATGAGATTTAACTGAAAACATAACATTAAAGCTAATATTTAATGAGAATCAAATTGAAGTAGTGACGATGGCCCTTTCCCTGTAATATTAGAACTTTATTCTTGACATGAGAAAAATCAAGAAATTAAAGCCTCTGCAAAACATTTTTTTTTTAGCCTTATGTGTTCCATGATAATAATACACTGATTGTTTGATCATTTAATTGTTATAGTGACGCTATTCTAATGTTTCAATCATTGAATGTAAATCAATAAATTATTCCAATTTGAATAGACTAGAATTTATGTTGGGGTGACAGTAGCTCAGTTGGTAAAGCATAAGCCTTTGGACCTGAGGGTTGTGGGTTCGTGCCCATCACAAGCCTATTACAGAATCCACCGATTTTCACTGATGTTTGCTGTCAGTGTGTCCTTGGCAAGACACTTAACCTCTTGGAACACCAGATGCCACAGTGGAGTGGCTGTTAAGTGCCAAACTGCCATTGTGTCCTTGGTCAAGACACTTCATTGCCTAGACTTAGTCTGGTGTATGTGTGAATGGTTGGTGGTGGCTAGAGTGGTAGTTAATTATCACAGTGTATGGAGTGAATTAATAATGACATGTAAATGACAACCTTTTGAGTATCCAAATAAGTGCTATATAAAACCAATGCATTTATGTCTAAACCATACCTTTAAGCGATTGATAAAGTTGAACCCTGTCCTTCAAATACAGAAATGGTTCAACTTTTTTGACATTCAACCAAAAATGAACCAGTCTTCCTGCTTTTCAAACTGGTCCCTTTAAAGAAAAAGAAATTTAATGTGTTTTTAATTACGGGTGCAAGTAACTTTATTCTTTCTTACATGTGTTTATCAAAATGTCCAAACAATACTACAAATGATCAAACTGTACAGTTCACAGCTCGCCGAGTGCACCTTCTGAGTAGTGACAGTTGTTACTATAGTTACGTCCCGACGCTAAATCCACTTCCTGTTTGTCGGCCAACTTACTTGCAGGAATTTTTGGTTTGTTTTGATAATTAAAACATCTTTTTGAAGTAAGGCGAGACAACCTTTTGAATCCACTGCCTTTTTCGTTGTGTTCAAGCAATTTAACCCTTTTGGAAAAGTGCCATGGGTGTTCATCTGACAAGACCAAAGTCATCGAAAGAGCGACGCAGAGGTTCAGCCAACACTTTCCCCTTTGCCCAAAACAGTGGTGAAAACAGCGGGGGTGGATTTGACGTAGGCGGACAGGAGCTGCGGCATTCCAGACGTCTGAGTGAAGAGCAGCCTGAACTAAACCTGTCAGCGGCTGGATTGTCACTTAACAAGTGTGTTCTTCCATCCATAGAAAAGACCAAACCCAGGCGCCAGAGCGCGGGTAAATTACCTGTACAGGTGATCTCGCTATGTCAACGTTTACAAAAGCTATTAGTGCTATCATTATTAGCTATTTAGTGTTATTAAATAATTGTAAACCGCTTTGTGACTCTGGTCTGTGAAAGGCGGTATATAAATAAAGATGACTTATTAGGCAATCATAGACTGTAAATAATACTGCATTTTAAATATTTGTTCTCACTCACAATCAACATGAATGCAAATATTACACAACAAACACATTACTTAAAATATTGATGTTCATATTTGAGTTGCTGGCAAATTGCCGTTAGATATATGTTGCAGCCTTCCGTTTGTGTGTTAGGATTTAACAGACAGAGACGGATCGTGGTGTGCCAAACTCTGGAAGTTTATTTAAGTTTCTCTCAAGTTCCACTAGTTTACTCTGTTTCTTTTCCTCAGACAGAATAAAGGCAGTACACAGTTTATATAGTCATTGTCACGTCACACATCGAAAGACATACGTGTCACAAAGAGACAGTCACATCATAGTCATAACATGGAGTCCTTGTAGAGTCCTTGTACAGTCCTGCACGTAGGCCATATTGCTATCTAATACTAACACCCTCCCCTTTGATCACATAATCACATGTGATCACTCAAATTGATCAATCAATAAAGTGGAAAAAGAAAAAAAAATTCCAAAAAAAAAACTTCAAAAAATTATTAAAACAAAGAAAATGTATGCATTAAACTCATAATCATCAAATCAATATCAGTGGATTTTATCCTCTATCCTGGGAAAAAACAAAAACAAAAATAAAGTAAATAAACAAACAAAAAACAAATCAAAAATAAAAACAAACAAAAATAAAAACAAACAAAAACTATTGGACACACAAGAACTCAGCAGATTCAGTCAAAACACAGACAAAAACGAGCTGAGTCTCAAATTTGAAGCTAATTTCACTTTTATTACTCTATACTTTTATTCTAATGCTGATTGTTTACACTACACTCAATCTTATTTCACTGTATTGTTTTCACTTTTCAATCTTAGACTGTGTACTTTACTTTTACTATACACTATAGTTTAAAACTATTCTAATCTATTCACAAATATGTTTGCATATTTGCTTCTATTGAGCCATATTCTTAAACATACATTTTAATCTAATAAATCTCTCTGTGGTATTATACTCTCATTATCAGTGGCTTATTGTTAGTGGGATTTTGCTCCATGTCTATTCTCATTCTCAGGAATAAAACTGTGAACACAGTAAGGCAAATGGTCAACATTTACACTTCTATAGTGGTCAGTGATTTATTACTTTTTATTATCTAAAGATATTATTGTCAGGCATTTGGGATGAATGAACATCATTAATCAAATTAGTATTATCCTAATAGTAGCTAATTATGTTTGGGGTTGGGGTCAGTTATTCTACAATGGTGTTTGTGCTGGAAACTTCTCAAAGATATCCAAATATCTACTATTGTGTTTTTGTGCTATACCCAAATGCATCAAAATGCTTTTAAATGCTTTTGAATCTCTGTTGGTTGTAATCTCTCATTGATCTAGGCATTAATCTAGGCTACACTCATATGGACTTTTTGCATTGTCAACATTCACTCATGTTTGAACACAAGTGAATTTGGCAAGTATCTAATAAAACTGTACATAAACTGTAATTAACTTTATCTACTTTTGAAGTAAATGCTTGTGAAATGGTCCCTTTACCATTTGATATTAGCAATAATAATCTCTATTTTTGAAAGCATCTATGGTTGATGTCTCTATTTCTACACTATTGTGGCTCTAAAGCTTGGTTGCAGCTTGAGTCAAGGCATATTTCTACTCTAACTCTTATGTGGAAATGTTTATGAACAACAAAGGAAGGACAATTCTACTTTTTTACTACTACTAAAAACGCTACAATACTAATACTTTATCATTTTAAAAGTTTTTGTCTGTCAGATGTCTGAATACTTAACATGTATATTGCATTTGGTCACAGGTTCTGGTTGTAGCAATAGCATCGGCAATAGACGTTTTCATTGGCTGGTTCTTGTTCTGCAAATGTCTGTGTCCAATAGATCATCAGATGTCCAGAAGCTAGGGACAAACAAAAACAAAAGAAAAAATCATGAGTATCTCTCTCATTTAGCACTCATCAATGTATGATTTCAAAAATATAAACATCACTCCCCAGTTTTCTCTCTCTCAGGTCCTCAGGTCCTCAGGGTCCTCTGAGGGTCAGTCTCAGTCGTCATCAGGTCAGGTCATATTTCCAGAGATGTCATCTTGGACATCAGTAGGGTCCAAGCCATGGTTTTGGTCACTCCAGATGCACATCAGGATCTCCAGATACAGTCTTTTCACTTGAAGCACATCAGGTCATTTGCGATGCACTTCTGGTCAATGGTGCAGTGTCACAGTTCCTGTACACAGCTTGTAATGCAGTAGTTACTTTCTATGGTTAAGTCACTTTGATTCTACTTTAAAGACAATTTCTATTCATGCTGTTGCTAATGTCCCTTAGACAAAAGCAAGCGCAGTTTACTTCTCTATTGTATTTTTATCAGATCTAATTCTAATCAATGTAATTACTTCACACAGTACAAAATCAACAAATCAAAAGTGTCAGGACAGACGTCAATTATGTCCATGACAATATAGAATTCAAATGAACATTTCTGGTCTCAAAAAATACTGATTCAACTAAAGATTCAAGTGATAGACAATTAAAAATGTGTTTACATTGGAGTAAACTTTTAAAATGCTTTTTTCTCATGTTCTGCTTTTTCATGTATCTATATGTAAATGTGAATGTGTGAGTGTATGTGTGTGTGTGTGTGAATTTTGGGGTTGTGTCTCAAGACTCCACGAACCACCTGTAGGTGTCAAAGGTCACACTGTGGTGATGCAAACCAACTGGACACACTTTCAACTGCCTCTAGGTCTCTCCCTGACGCTCCACCCATCACGTCTCCAGATACCTCTCTTTCATGGCCCCGGTCTCTCTCACACGCACTCAGTTCTGCAGTGGCGTGGGGAGGGGCAAGGAGGTGGCATTTTCCTTTGCTCTTTGATCTGTGACCTGTGGCTGGGTGGGCTTTGCGCTGTCCAGTGTCCAGCAGTGACCTCTCCCACAGTGTGCCAGAGTCTGAAAAACAATCCTTGAAACAGCCAATTTAAAAAAACAATAGATATCAGTATGCGAATGAGATTGTTTTTCTCTCTGAAGTCAAAACAATTTGAGCGCTCTGGGTTTTCCCAAGCGCTATGTAAATAAAGATTACTTATTCTCTTACTAATGATGACATTTTAAAACCAGAAACTAAAGAAGTTATCAAAACAACAATTATACTCAAAACAAACAACCTTTTAAACTTTAAAACATGTATTATATACTTTTGTACTGTGTGATTAATTATCTATGCGTCCTTGGGTTTCTTGAAAGACGCCATGAAATGAAATTATGAAAAATCTCTATAAAAATGAACATTAATTTGTAAAAACATTTAAAACAAAACTTGAAATCAAACAAAAGATTTAGCTCCAGCTACACTGGATTTGGTTCAATAAAACTCAATTGTGCGTCGGAGCTGCCTCCTAATGTCTCTGAGCAGCAGCAAGGTCACGCGTGTAGTCAAAACAAAAACAAAAGTCACCGCTTGAATGTGAATTGGGTGAATTGGGTAGTTTAACTTAATAATATAATACTTTTACAGCCTAATTCCCTCTTTCTTTTTTAGACGAAGTCTACAATCATTAATCACTTTTAACAGATTCTAATTTAAATGTTTGAAAAACGGCTTTTGTAACTAAAATAAAAAATACATGAAAAAATTCTCACAAACAGCTATGAAATATATCAGAGATACAATAATGGACTCACAAAATAAGCAGCCGATTTAAAAAGAAAAGCAAAGCTTTTTGTACTAATCTTTGGGTTTCAAAAACATACTAATATTCAAAACTTATTCACTAATGGTGTTTAAAAACGTTTAACTGTGTCATAACACAATGTTCAAATGGCAAATTTAGCAAATTTAACGGAATAACAACTATGAAAAGCCAAAAGTCCTAAAGCAGTAGCTCCCCTTTAAATCAGAGCAGCGAAGGTGGGGGCCGTTTCCCTGACAACGGCAGCAGATAGAGATGTGCACACACACAGGCAAAAAGATACAGAAGAATAACTTTCAAGATTACTTTGTTAAGCGAATATAACTTATGTTGTTCTTTATACTTTTGTCATCCAAATCTAGAAATGATCACTTTCCACACTAGTAACAAAAGGCACTCTTTAGTGTTTAACGTTTCCCTTTTTATAATTACTTTTAATTCACCATGGTTTCTCTCAAAGGGACTTTAACCCTGAAGCTTCTTCTCAAAGGGACTTTAACCCCGAGGCTTTTCTCAAAGGGACTTTAACCCCGAGACTTTCTCAAAGGGACTTTAACCCCGAGGCTCAAAGGGACTTTAACCCCGAGACTTCTTCAAAATACAATTTAGAGAGTTTGACAGACCCCAAAAAACAGACCAAAATTTAGCTAATATCCAATTATGCAGACTTTACATATTAAAAAAGGTGTCTGCTTACCTTATTCTTGTCAAACCGGTTCCAAGGACTGTCCGAGAGGTCTGCCAACTCTTTTCCGCGTCGGAATATTCAATTTAAAAAACAAAACAGAGAAAGTGAGGGAGCAAGAGCAAGCCCATCCAAAAGCGAGCCCTTTCAGCGTCCGCTGGGATTTCTCCCCTTCCAGATAACGTGCTGTTGCTCCCACACGCCGAAAAAAAGAAACAGAGAAAACTCCCTCAAAACAATCCAGAGAATGGCACAAACCGAGCCGCGCATTCTCCACCAAATCTGTTAGGATTTAGGCAGAGAGAGACGGATCGTGGTGTGCCAAACTCTGGAAGTTTATTTAAGTTTCTCTCAAGTTCCACTGGTTTACTCTGTTTCTTTTCCTCAGACAGAATAAAGGCAGTACACAGTTTATATAGTCATTGTCACGTCACACATGGAAAGACATACGTGTCACAAAGACAGTCAAATCATAGTCATAACATGGAGTCCTTGTAGAGTCCTTGTACAGTCCTGCACGTAGGCCATATTGCTATCTAATACTAACATGTGGAAAAGGTGAAGTATATATTTCAAGCAAAACTAGGATGTCTCACTTAGCTCGTAGTAAAAAACATGTACATTTTATATTGACTAACATTCAGCAAATTTCCCTAAATAATGCATTGTTTTGTTACAAAATAACTCAACTGTTGTCTTCACATCCATTCACAGGGATGTGAGGGAACAGAACTCCCAGTAGGACATGAGCCTGACAGCAGCGCCTCAAAGGATGACAGGAAAGTGCCCCTATCTCCAAACTCTCTGCTGCTCGCCATCAAAGACCCAGTGGGCCGAAGGTTCCAGCAGCACTTTAACCTGACGGACACATTGCTCCACGTCAGGGCCGCTGCAGAAGTCAAATACAGTGTGAAGTTTGGAGAAAATGCTACAATTGAAACCATGGAGGTCCCACGAAGGAGCTTCTCTGATATGAGCCTGACTTTGGAGCAATGCAGCATCAGCAACAGATCTGTGCTGTGCATCTTTCAGCCACAGGACAAGTGATACCAAGACTAAAGTCATAATCAAGCAATAGGGCAGATACATAATACTAAAAAAATTACAAGATGTGATTAACCAGAATTTAAACTATAAATTGTAGACCTTTATGCCAAATAGTTTCATGTTTTGACCAGGACAGTTGTACGGCAGTAGTGTAGCTGATCCAGGAAACTAGATCAGACTCTAAATGATCAGCCACCATCTTTGTTCTGTTTTATTTTTCAAGAACTTCTGTCTCTGCAAAGTAAATGGTTTCCACAGAGTATTTCATTTCACTTTGTAATATAGAATAGTCAATAAATCAATATCTAGCATTAAGACAACACTGTACTCTTTATTTGAACAAAAAGTACATAGTACAAATTTTTACCTTTTTTTTCAACTGGCACTTGACAATTATTTGATAAACCGCAATATGATGCTGTCACATGTATGAGAGACTGATACATTTCTAACAAATTATTTTTGCAAATAAAAAAGGATGCTACTGTGACAAATTGGTATCAAACAAACTTCAATGATTCACAACAGGCAATAAAACTGTCTCAAGTCTAAAGGATTTGTGAAACTTTGACCTTTAGTCATGCAATATTCAGAGAAAAATACACCGCAAACTTAAAACAATAATTCAAACAAAGAAAGTCATTTTAGAACTTCTTAAAACACACAAAAAACAAAACAAAACACATGCGAGAAGTGCTACACAAAAAGAATACACATACTTTGGACGAGACTTTTGAGTTTAGGCATTGCCTGCTAATCAAAAGAGAATGGTCATATCTGTCCCGTGAGCTGCCTTTCCATTTCCTCAAGATTTTCAGTGTCAAGTTTCATGATTTTTCTGTCTGTGGAAAGAAAGAAAACATTACTCACTGGATAAACTGATTCTCATTTGTCATTATTGTAGTTCCACTTTAACTTTTACTACATCAGTCACTATATCTGTTCACTGCATCTGTGAATACGTTTATTAAGAGTGATCACTTTTTTTTTTTCACGTTTGTGAAAAAAATAAAATAGCAGAAGTGCAGTTGTTTTTCACCAATGAGAGTACGCACTCTCGCAATACGCACATTTTAACGATGAGATAGAAAACACTTCAACACTTCAAATGTTCTGGGTAGCAGTTTAAACAGGCAGTTATTCAACGTCTGTCTAATATCAGCTAAACAATTCTGTAGGAGTCTTTCCCTGCATTAGAAAAGAATAATCAGAAATAGGAGAGGGTTACACAGACTACTGTAAAGGTAAAGGGATTAGTTCTGAAGGTCTTGTGATGTGAGGAATGCAAACTGGGATCTTTGCCAAGTCACCTTCACGTGAGACATTATAAACTGCTCTTAGTTTAAAAATAAGGGGTGTCAAACCGGTTCCAGAAAGGGTTGTGTGTCTATAGGATTTAGTTCTAACCCGAGCAGGAGCACAAAATTAGTGAATTAAGTAATGTACATACTGAAGTGCATCTCTATCTGGCGGAGCACTTCCATGCTGTGGTCGCTGTCCACCATATTCACAGCAAAGCCCCTCTTGCCAAAACGGCCCGAGCGGCCGATCCTGTGCAGATACGTCTCATTATCTGCATTTCCATCCAGGTCCACCGGCAAGTCAAAATTCACCACCACCGACACCTGCTCCACGTCAATACCTGCATTTGATAAAAAAATTATGATCAAATAAATCATTTTTGTACAGCCCAAACTCAACCGCAGATTTTGGTTGTGATTTTGGGCTGTATTAGGTGAAAAAGACAACAAATTAGGAAAAGGATGAAAATCCCCTATGCTCTTTACCATGTATTAGCTAATAAATTGTCAAAACATATTCACTGCAAAAATTTAAAATATTATTTCTCATGAAATGATTCTATGAGTAAAATATATTAGTTTGATAAATGCATGATTACTCAACCTTTACTCTCCTGCAATAAAAATATAATTAATATTTACATTAGACCAATGTCATGTCAAAAAAGCTGCTTTAAAAAATTACGATTTGGAGACAAATTGTAATTGTCCCAAAGGAGGCAACAAAATCTAGATTTGACATTTTAAATGTCTTTAATTCTTTGGCATTTGGGAGTAGTCACTTGCTTGTGTCCGTGAAGATTAAACCCAAGAATTGGGAAACATTTGAACTACACAGCGTTCCAAATTATTATGCAAATTGCATTGAAGGGTCATAAAGATGGGGGACTTCAACGCCCATGTGGGAAATGCCAGTGACACTTGGAGAGGGGTGATCGGGAAGAGCGGCCCCCTGATCTGAACCCGAGCGGTGTTCAGTTGTTGGACTTCTGTGCCAGTCACGGCCTGTCCATCACGAACACCATGTTCGAGCACAAGGGTGTCCATCAGTGCACGTGGCACCAAGACACCCTAGGCCGGAGGTCGATGATCGACTTTGTTGTCGTATCATCTGACCTTCGACCGCGTGTCTCGGACACTCGGGTGAAGAGAGGGGCGGAGCTGTCAACCGATCATCACCTGGTCGTGAGTTGGATCCGCTGGCAGGGCAGGAGGCCGGTCAGACCTGGCAGGCCCAAGCGTGTAGTGAGGGTTTGCTGGGAACGTCTTGCTGAGCCCCCTGTCAGACGGACTTTCAACTCACACCTCCGGGAGAGCTTCTCCCAGGTCCCGGCAGAGGAGGGGGACATCGAGTCCGAGTGGACCATGTTCTCTTCCTCTATCGCCAATGCGGCGGCTCGTAGCTGTGGTCGCAAGGTCTCTGGTGCTGGTCCCGGCGGCAATCCCCGAACCCGGTGGTGGACACCGGCAGTAAGGGATGCCGTCAGGCTGAAGAAGGAGTCCTATCGAGCCATGATGGTTCGTGGGACTCCTGAGGCAGCTGTCCAGTACCGGCAGGCCAAACGTGCCGCGGCCCGGGCTGTTGCAGAGGCAAAAACCCGGGACTGGGAGGAGTTTGGAGAGTCCATGGAGCATGACTATCGGTCGGCCTCGAAGAGGTTCTGGCAAACCGTCCGGCGCCTCAGGAGGGGGAAGCAGTTCTTTGCCAACACCGTGTATGGTGCGGGTGGAGGGCTGCTGACCTCGACTGGGGATATTGTCGGGCGGTGGAAGGAAGGTTCTCCTCAATCCCCCCATCACGTCCTCCGTCCAGGAGGTAGAGGCTGAGGATGTTGGGGCGGACACTTCCATCTCCCTGGCCGAGGTCACCAAGGTGGTTGGCAGCCTCCATGGTGGCAAGGCGCCGGGAGTGGATGAGATCCGTCCTGACTATCTAAAGTCTCTGGATGTTGTAGGACTGCCTTAGCTGACACGTCTCTGCAGCATCGAGTGGCAGACCGGGGTGGTGGTCCCTCTCTACAAGAAGGGGGACCGGAGGGTGTGTTCCAATTATCGTGGGATCACACTCCTCAGCCTCCCCGGTAAGGTCTACTCCAAGGTACTGGAGAGGAGGCTACGTCCGATGGTCGAATCTCGGATTCAGGAGGAGCAGTGTGGTTTTCGTCCCGGTCGCGGAACACTGGACCAGCTCTATACTCTCCATCGGATACTCGAGGGTTCATGGGAGTTCGCCCAACCTGTCCACATGTGCTTTGTGGATTTGGAGAAGGCGTTCGACCGTGTTCCCCGGGGTGTCCTTTGGGGGGGGTCCTCCGGGAGTACGGGGTCCTCTGCTGAGGGCCGTTCGGTCCCTGTATGACCGGAGTCAGAGCTGTGTTCGCATTGCCGGCAGTAAGTCAGACCTGTTCCCGGTGCATGTTGGCCTCCGCCAAGGCTGCCCTTTGTCACCGGTTCTGTTCACTGCATTTATGGACAGAATTTCTAGGCGCAGCCAGGGGCCGGAGGGGGTCCGGTTCGGGAACCACAGGATTTCATCTCTACTTTTTGCGGATGATGTCGTCCTGCTGGCTCCAACGAACCAGGACCTGCAGCATGCACTGGGACGGTTTGCAGCCGAGTGTGAAGCGGCTGGGATGAGAATCAGCACCTCCAAATCCGAGGCCATGGTGCTCGACCGGAAAAAGGTGCCTTGCCCTCTCCAGGTGGGTGGAGAGGTCCTTGCCTCAAGTGGAGGAGTTCAAGTATCTCGGGGTCTTGTTCACGAGTGAGGGAAGGATGGAGCGTGAGATTGACAGGCGGATCGGTGCAGCGTGCGCAGTGATGCGGTCGCTGTATCGGACCGTTGTGGTAAAGAGGGAGCTGAGCCGAAAGGCGAAGCTCTCGATTTACCGGTCAATCTTCGTTCCCTCCCTCACCTATGGTCATGAGCTGTGGGTAATGACCGAAAGAACGAGATCGCGGATACAAGCGGTCGAAATGAGCTTCCTCCGCAGAGTGGCTGGGCGCTCCCTTAGAGATAGGGTGAGGAGCTCAGTCACACGGGAGGAGCTCGGAGTAGAGCCGCTGCTTCTCCACGTCGAGAGGAACCAGTTGAGGTGGCTCGGGCATCTGTTCAGGATGCCTCCTGGACGCCTTCCTGGGGAGGTGTTCCGGGCACGTCCCACCGGGAGGAGGCCCCGGGGAAGACCCAGGACACGCTGGAGAGACTATGTCTCTCAGCTGGCCTGGGAACGCCTTGGGGTCCCCCCGGACGAGCTGGAGGAAGTGTGTGTGGATAGGGAAGTCTGGGCGTCTCTGCTTAGACTGCTGCCCCCGCGACCCGGCAACGGATAAAGCGGAAGAAAATGGATGGGTCATAAAGATACATTTTTTTGTTTTTCAATTAAACTCATGGATGGTATTGTGTCACAGGGCTCTTTGGATCACTGAAATCAATTCCAGACACCTGTGATAATTAGTTTGCCAGATGAGCCCAATTAAGGAAAAACGACTTAAGAAGGGCGTTCCACATTATTAAGCAGACAACCATTTCCAAGCAATATGGGAAAGAAAAAGGATCTCTCTGCTGCCGAAAAGCGTGAAATAGTTCAATGCCTTGGACAAGGTATGAAAACTGAAGCGTGATCATCGTACTGTTAAGAGATTTGTGGCTGATTCAGAGCACACGGTCGCTCTGATAAAGGCACGATGAGGAAGGTTTCTGCCAGACAAAAACATCGGATTAAGAGAGCAGCTGCTAAAATGCCGTTGCAAAGTAGCAAACATATATTTGAAGCTGCTGGTGCCTCTGGAGTCCCACGAACATCAAGGTGTAGGATCCTCCAGAGACTTGCAGCTGTGCGTAAACCTTCTATTCGGCCACCCCTAAACAATGCTCACAAGCAGAAGCGGCTGCAGTGGGCCCAGAAATACATGAAGACTAATTTTCAAACAGTCTTGTTCACTGATGAGTGCCGTGCAACCCTGGATGGTCCAGATGGATGGAGTAGTGGATGGTTGGTGGACGGCCACCATGTCCCAACAAGACTGCGACGTCAGCAAGAAGGTGGCGGAATCATGTTTTGGACTGGAATAATGGGGAGAGAGCTGGTCGGTCCTTTTAGGGTCCCTGAAGGTGTGAAAATGACCTCTGTAAAGTATGTGGAGTTTTTGACTGACCACTTTCTTCCATGGTACAAAAAGAAGAACCGTGCTTTCCGTAACAAAATCATATTCATGCATGACAATGCACCATCTCATGCTGCAAGGAATACCTCTGCATCATTGGCTGCTATGGGCATACAAGGAGAGAAACTCATGGTGTGGCCCCCATCCTCCCCTGACCTCAACTCTATGGAGAACCCTTTGGAGCATCCCCAAGCAAAAGATCTATGAAGGTGGGAGACAGTTCATATCCAAACAGCAGCTCTGGGAGGCTATTCTGACATCCTGCAAAGATATTCAAGCAGAAACTCTCCAAACACTCACAAGGTCAATGGATGCAAGAATTGTGAAGCTGCTATCAAATAAGGGGTCCTATGTTAAAATGTAAGTTGACCTGTTAAGATGTTTTTGATTAATAGCTTTTGATTTAAGTAAATATGACATCCTAATGCTGCAAATCCAAAAGATGAGCATTTTCAGTCCTATGAAATGTTATAAAACTCTGTTGTGCGTAATAATTTGGAACAGAGCATTTTCAGTTTTATATTTATAAAAAAATCAGTTTTCATTGGGTGGTTTGTTCAATAACATTTTAATTCATTAAACTAATGGTTGATGACTTGAAAATTATGCTGACTATCATTTGCATTGGTTATTTAGGAAAATCTGGGAAAAATACAATTTGCATAATAATTTGGAACGCGGTGTACACTGATTTTCTACCATTAGAGTCGAGTTTACCTCTGGAACACACATTGGTCGTCACCAGCACCTTCTCGTTAGCGTCTCTGAACCTTTTGATGACCGCAGCCCTTTGCTCCACTGTCAGCTCACCGCTCAGGAGTGCAACCTGGTGACCCTGTTCGTTCAACTTTGAAGCCAACCACATAGCCATCTTACGCGTCTAAAGAAATCAAAAGGAAAATATGGTGCAACATTTTAATTGGATTCAATGGTGACATATGGAGGACCGATATATGAGATACAATATTTTGTTTTAAATGGCCAATCCCCAAGACAAACGTTTGTGGAAATACACTAAGAATACATGTTCTCAGAATAAAATAATTCTAATTTAATACATTTTTGGTGCGTATTGAAACAACCAACGTTTTTTATGCATATATTTGTACTATTCTTGCTGAGAAGATATGATCACATTGCAAATATAAAAACAGCCAGCCACATGTTGACTTACCTGGCAGAAGACGATGGCCTGTGCGATGGTGAGAGCCACATAGAGGTTACACAGGGCGATGAACTTTTCCTCCTTCTCGGTACAGATGGTGTAGAACTGTTTGATGGTGTCGAGGGTCTCCTCCTCGCGCCGCAAACGGATGATGTTGGGATCAGGAACAACGCGCTCGGCAAACTTCCACACAGAGTCCTCAAACGTGGCTGAGAACAGCAGCATCTGACACTCCACAGGTAGAAGCCTATGGGGTAGGAACAGTTCAGACTTTTGACCAGGGTTTAAAAAGATGTGCTACACACATTTGAAAAGTGCAAATAAAAGGACTCAAACTAGATACTACTTTGTAAACATACTAGACATTTGAATTCCTCAGCCTTTTCCATGACCTTGAAACTTAAGGTTCACGACTGAACACACTCTTTACTAGCCCTATTTTCGGACAGGATAAGTATTAACTATGGACCTCTGATCATTTGTGATTATCACGGAAGACATCTGAAATATTAGTCCTGTGCGAATGCGCCATGTCTGTAATTTGTAAAGTAATAATTCCGCCGCAAATTACCTCCTGTATTTGTCCAAACACAGACGTCCTATGACAATACTAATCCCGTGCAAATCTGCATGTCAGTGATTGTGCCACTATTGCCGCTTTCACTTTACTTTCTGCATTATTTTTTTGTCAATGAGCAGAGTCGCCGCGGCTGCTGCTGTCTCTGTGAGGTCTACGGAGAAGTGAAGAGAACAGTGTAACGTGTTCACTGACACATAATGATCAGACCGATGGGTTCCGTTTGTGCGTTTACTTTGCACTCTGTGGTAATACAGGACAGACGTGTTGATTCAGCCGTTACTATTTGACGGCTCGCGCGCATGTTAGCAGAGTATTTGGTGCGTTCATGATAGCCCATAGAGACTGTTTGTACGGACTAAGTGAAGCGGGGAGACCCGCTGTTACGTGAATCATTTCCCTCTTTCCCTGTGTGCTGTTGCACTCTCCCTTCTGCTTCTTTGTGAAGGTGCTGTGGGCGTGACCTGGAGGATGGTGCATGATTGGTGGATCGGCAGCCAATTGGAAAGAAGGAGCGAGTATTTAAACGGGGAGTGTGTTGGGCGGCTCTCTCAGGTGCCAGGAGCTGCCAGGTGGTAGCCTGCTTTGTTCCTGTGTGGAGGTTTGGTTAGGTGAGTTTGGTGCTTTGAACATTTGCAACACGTAGATGGTTTTGTTAGTTTCATTAGTTTAACAGTTGTGCCACCCTTGTTCTTTTGTACTCTACTTTTATTTAGATAATACAGAATAGACTTTCATTCCTTTTGTTAGACTAGCTTGTTGAGTTAGGCCCCTTTTGTTATATTGAGTTTGTTCTTTTGGCACAACTGGACGACGCCACTCCTCCCACCACTGTTATTCCTTTTTTGTTTGGCTTAAAAATAAAATTGCCAAACCCTGTGAGTGATGATGTTTGATGTGTTTCAATGATGGTTTCATATATCCCCGTTAGGTCTGGTATGTATCCTTAACTGGTCATAACACCTGCGCACGTGCAGGCCGTTATGTGAGATGTGAAAATATAGTAATTTACAGACATTGCTTATCCTGTGTGAATGCACTGCAAGACCTCACACGTCCTCCGTGATTATTACAAATTACCAGGGGTCCACAGGTAACTAATCCTGTCCAAATAGGGCTATAGAGTTGTAAAACTACCTGTATTATGTTTAGAAATCTAACCTGATTATATTTAATCTCGTGTCCAATATTGTTTAAAAAAATGCCAGTAAGCGTATTTTGGCACTGACTAAATTGAATGTATTACATTAAAGTTTCAAGTAGAGCCAAAGAGGTTATCCGTTACTTCTTATTCATAAATCTAGGTAAAACATGCATTCAGCCATTTATCTTGAATAGCTTATGAAACTCTCTTATAAATAGAAAAGTAGATTAGGTCTAGGCTCTTTTAATACAACCAATGGAAGAATCCAAATCCTTGTGGTCATGGACTTTAGTGAGAACACTGTCTGCTGTGACCTGTGAATACGGATGCTCTGGTCCTGGTGTCCCTGAGTGGCGATCATCACATCTGCCTCGTCCAGCACAAATACAGAGATCTTCTTCGGGTCTATGACTCTGTATTTGGTGCACCAGTCCAGCATTGTTCCAGGGGTTCCAATGACTATGTGCTCCTCCAACACCACTCCGCGATTCACTAACAGTGTCACACACACACAACAGTTATTATGACAGCTACATCTGGTACATGGATCTTAAAGACATAGCGAGGATTTTTTTCCAGGTGGATCATCAAGACGATTTGTCCTCCTAATTGTCAATCATTCCAGTGATAATTGACAAGCACGTACGACGGCCTTATTTCACACAAGACCAGTGTTTTTTGGAAGATTCTTTCACATGAAGGCGTGCACTGAAAGCACAGGTTGTGCTTCCCACTGATGCTTCAGCCAAGAACTTTCTACTCGACAGGTAAAGTTTGGCATTCTATTTGGATAAATCCATTTCAAATAACTTCCAGTAAAAGTTATCCAAGTCTATATTGTCTGACATAGTGAGAAAAGCTCTTGGAAAGTGAGCTTTTGCGATGCCAACAGTGACTTGTAAACAGAGCGTGCATGAGGAGAACTGGGCGCGTGCACGTCTCTCACACACGTTTTAGTAGGCGTTCCCTTTCAGGAGTAGGTACATGTGCATTTTTTCAAAAAGTGGAGAGGGGGCAGTTCTTTCCTAAAATGTGGGTAAATCCTCCTATAACTTTAAGATGGGAACACACTGCACAACCTTTTGCCCAATTCACGGTCAGTTCAGTCGCACGTTGTGTGCTTGAATCAGCCCTGCTAGATTTCATGTTTTCATTGTTTGAATTTCAAGCCTGATTGCATCTTTTGCTGCAAGATATTTATTTTCATTAAAACATTTCAACATTTATTTAACAGCCGGGTCAGATATTGGTCTGTATTTTTTCCTTATTAATGATACGTGTTGTCCCTCATGACTGCAGTCATGCACTGTTCCATCACAGTTTTCAGTCAAGTCAAATCGTGCAGTGTCCAAAACTGAGTTTTGCCAAAATTGTGCAGTGTCCTCAGTTTGTGACGTTTTACATTTCAGCCTCACATTTCCTCACCTCTGTTGCCTCTTACAGCGTACGCCAAGTTGACATCAGGATAGAATTTGGCCATTTGCTCGATCACTTGACCAATCTGAAGAGCAAGCTCAAACGTCGGCGCAAGGCACAGGGACTGAAAACAGCAACAGTCTCATCAATCCAAGACCATGTTAGGGAAAATAGCTGTGAATATGATTGGTAAATCAAAAATGCACGTGACATGAAGTTTTCAAAACTGACAAGCTTAAAATATTCTGAGAAAATTCAACAGTAACTAACAAAAATTATGAAGTCATCTTTGAGCCAAAAACATTTAAGCTACAAACAATTGTCCACATGTTATTTAAAATGACACTGACCTTTCTATACAAATAAGATACATTCATCCTCTATGGAGATGGATACATTTAATGTCGTGTGAAAGATGAGCATCTATTAGTGGATTTAAATATTTGCAGGCACTGCAATTTGACTGGTACTTGCAGCCTGAGAATATGGTATTCGGAAAATATAGAAAATAAAATTATTTCCATTCTTTTAAGCCATACAACATTAACAAATTAGTGTAATTTTTTTCAAAAAAGTATTTAATCATTTTAGAATAATTTGCATTGCATTTCTTCCAACACAAAATTATAGATTTATAAGTTATGTGTATTAAATTCTCTCATCCTTATCCCAATATACCATGCACCGTACCTGTGGCCACTTGTTGGCAGGGTTGACATGGCTGAGCATAGCCAGAGCAAAGGCAGCAGTTTTTCCTGTTCCAGACTGTGATTGGGCAATTAGATTCTGGGGACTAAAACACATTTGGACATAACTAAACTAGCAAATACAGGCTCATGTACAAAGCTCAACAATAAAATATTAGACGGCTAATAGTTTTAATCACATAACACACATGTAAACATTATTGAAGTGGTCATTTGAGATGACAGAGCCAAACCAACTCACGGTTTCGCCAGCATCATGGGCAGAGCGCTCTCCTGGATTCGAGACGGCCTATTGAAGCCCATGTTGTAGATCCCCTGCAGAAGCTCAGGTTTTCTATGGGTCCAAACAGCAGAAGTATCAGTTAGAAAATCCACCCAAATTAAACAGAACTTCTGTTTGGAATTGTTTGAAAAAGCATTCAGAATGAACCCTTATGTCACTTTGAAGCAATTAACTGGAGCAGACAAAAAATAAAACTGGATGTCTTCACTTGAGTGACACTTGTTTGTATGGATCACTGTGGAACCAATGACGGAGTACACAAGCAGACCCAGAATTAATTTTGTTATTGAGTTATTAAGCAACATCAGTCTAATTTGAAAAATGATTCTTTAAACTCACAGTCTGAGCTCCTCAAACGTCTTCACAGAGAACAGCGGAGAGTTGGGGTCTCGCTGGAGCACTTCCACCTGGTTCCTGTTCTTCACTAAACTGGTTCTGATCATTTTGTTTAGTAAACTCTGCTCTGCCAGATTGATCTTGTCCCTCTCTTCAGAGTTGTCACTGCTTTGTTTGGCATCCACAGACCTTCTTGCAGTGATATTTCCTTTAACAGAGATAAATCATTTAGCTATCATCATGTTTTTGTCCCACAAAGTTTTACTTCAGAACTTATACTTTAGTGGTATTATCTTAACTTCGGCATTTCAATGATGGGTCAAATGGTACTATGGAGACTGTCAATAAGCATTGCATTTTAAAGTATTCCTATAAAGTTACACATGTCTAAAGAAACCTATGCCAAATTATCCATGGTTTTATTTTAGAAATAAATATAGTAAAAAAATAAAACATAAAAAGTGGAGACGCAGGGCCCATGCCTGTTAAACTGTTGAACATACAGTCCATGCATAAAACACGTGTCTAGATAAGGTGATTATCTGGTTAAAAAGTCACATTAGTAAAACACGCTAAAACTTTGCTTACCATTTATATCTGGTCTCCAGTTGGGTGGACCACGTCGTCCACCTTTCTTTGCAAACTGTTAAACAATGAATGTAGTGACATTTATTTCAATGCTAAGCATGTCTTTTTATTTGTATTTTTTTAACAAACACTTTGAATAACTTGAGTGTTAGAGAGAAAGAATCCCGCACACGTCTTACTTCAGAATCATTTTTATTGCCACGTAAGTAACAAAAAGGCAAGTAAAAAAGTATTTGAAGTGCGACGTTTCGGCGTTATGCCTTCATCAAGCAAACAAATAACTTTGTACCAATTGTGCAAATAAATAATTTTGCCTTGCATTCAAATGGTAAAATGCACAGGTGGAATCGAAAGTGACGTTAATTAGTAACAGCTATCAGCTAGCGTTCGCTAATTATACTTATTTATATTGGCGTTAGTACTAATGGTAGTGACAGATTTCAGAAAAGCGTGAAACCAACCAAATAGTTGTTTTATGGGCCTGCAGTGAGTTATTTGGTGAACATTTGACACATTTACTCACCGCTAACGCTAGCGGTTAAAAATGACACGTGAAACTCACCTTTATCGGCTCAGTTGTAGATTCTTGAAGGTCCACTGAAACAGCCCACGAATCAGACATTTTCATGTCAAATTGTAGTCTTTGCAACTACGGACAGAAAAGTGGATGAAATTGTTCAGTTATCTACATGGATCTAGCTACTAAAATTTGAATCATACGTGACCACGCTTTCCGGTTCGGATCGTACACCAGAGCAACTACTCCCATGGAGACACGGCCGCCATCTTTGTTTTCTGCAATGACCGTAAAAAAAAAACTGGATAAAATGTATTAATATTGTGATAAAATACATTATATTTGTATTTGTATACATAGTATACATTTTGTAAAACTGTTTTGTACAAGACCATTTACAACTATAATAATTTAATATGTAAAGCAATGAGGAACCTAAAACCAGATAACCTAGCATGATCAGGCTTATTTCAACCACATGGTACAGCTCGGTTTGGCCATAGAGCCATGGATCTATTATATTAACAATAGAGCACGCATTTGTATCGGTAGCTAAGTATCGACGGTGATTGTATAGTATAAAATGTTGTAGTTGTATGTAGTTTTTCATTTATATTTTCTCCAGGTATCATCACTCTTGACTGAGGGGTTATATATATAGGCAACATTTTGGGAAAAACATGTTTTTCCCCTTAAATAAAAATCAACAAAAACACTTCTCCCAGTTTTGATGGGTGTAGTAGATCCATGGATCTATTATAATAACTGGATAGGGTATTACTAGCTTGGAGCTGAAGAACTCATGTTCTCACGGTACTGCAGACTAGACCAGACTAAATTCATGTGGGCTATCCAGAAATATTCCCCATAGAACTCAATGTAATTAATTAAAACAGCGCGACCTCAGCTGACAGAGAACCTACAGCTTTAATAAAGGTCGAATTTTGTGGGGATTTTAGTGTCCCTTGTCATCCTGAACTTTTTTTCTTCTTAAATCCTTCGGTTTTCTTTAAATCCACACTTTAGTGCCACAAACTCTGCTCGTCTGGCTCTCGCGATAAACTTCCGCTCTGATGAACTGCTCTGATTGGTCAGAGCGCAGCCGAGCCCCTCTGTGCACGTGCATGAGACCCGGTGTGAGACCCACACACGCGTGTTTGGCGCAACGCATTGTGGGAGATCATCCACTGCGCAGAACCGGGAGGACCAGACGATGCCCAAATACAGGCGAGTTTCCCATAGATCTTTGCGAGTTCCAGTCGACTTCCGCTAATCTTTCAGCCCCCATGCCGTCACAAAACGCCACTAAGCACTGTCACTCCCATATTCGTCCCGGAAACCGGATTCGTCCGGAAGTTCAGTTTGCGGTGAGTGACTGGTTAAGTTTAGGCGTCTGATTAAGATGGTTAAGTTTAGGGTTAAAGCTGGGTTGGGGTTATTTTATGGGAATGGCTGGTTAAGTTTAGGCATGAATAGGTGGTTTTTTATATTTATTTCCGCTTCCGTCCAGATTCCGTGACGTAATCTACTGCTGCGTATGCTCATTGGATCAAACTGAACTTCCGGACGAATCCGGTTTCCGGGACGAATACGGGAGTGACAAGCACAAACATTCATTTGATTAGGGCGCCATCTTGGATCGCCGTGGCTTGAGTAGATCCAATTGAACAATTGAGAATGAGGAGTTGACGTCACGGCACAGAGTCCCCCCTCCCCATCCCCCCTTTGCCGACATATTGGCTGCGCACCGGTGGCGGCAGTACAGTTTGTTTACGTGTGTTGTGAACGCGGTAGTAGCGGAGGTTCTTGCTATTCCGCACTGTTTTATCATGCCTGGAAATAACTGCTGCGTTAAAAACTGCTCCAATACCTCCCAGGATGGATATGGAAAACCTAGTAACAACGGGATACAGTTTTTTAGGTTACCGAAATGGAAAAAGCATCAAGGGGAGCAATTCTCTGACCTGACAAGGAGACGTCGGATTGCTTGGTTGGCTGCAATTAGAAGACAGGACCTTACTTTCGATCACACACCCCTGTCGACGAGAGTGTGTTCTCTGCATTTTCACTCTGGTACGTTCTCTAAAAATGTATTTATGTAGTTGTCTCTTAAAGCTAGGAAGTGTAGGTTAGCATATGTTATTATGGTTTCTGTAGTGCCTTTGTCTCTGTGTCTTTGTTACCCTCTCAGGCTGTTTCTTACTTAGCACGTGTTCTGCGAGGTCTTTGCCAGTGTAAAGCATAGATTACATAGATTGTACACATAATCTAATTATTCTGTTGTACATAAACCTTCATATGACATTATGAGGTGACCTAAAAAGTACTTGAGATGCTGTTCATGACATAGTTGCCAGTTTAAAGCATTGATTACATAGATTGTGCAAATTATTATATTAATTATATGTTGTTATTATTCTCGTGTAGGTAAACCAGCATATGAGATGTTGGAGAACCACCCTGACTGGACACCATCCCTGTTGTTAGGCCACAATGATGTACAAAAAACAGATGAAGCGAGATATCAGCGGCAAGTAAGGCGCAGGTCCCTGCCACTGGAGCGGCAGCCACCTCCAGCCCAACACCAGCCGCAGGCGCCGCCGCCTCCAGCCCTAGACCAGCTGCAGCCGCCACCAGCCCTAGACCAGCTGCACCCGCCACCAGCCCTAGACCAGCCGCAGGCGCCGCCGCCACCAGCCCTAGACCAGCCGCAGGCGCCGCCGCCACCAGCCCTAGACCAGCCGCAGGCGCCGCCGCCACCAGCCCTAGACCAGCCGCAGGCGCCGCCGCCACCAGCCCTAGACCAGCCGCAGGCGCCGCCGCCACCAGCCCTAGACCAGCCGCAGGCGCCGCCGCCGCCAGCCCTAGACCAGCCGCAGGCGCCGCCGCCGCCAGCCCTAGACCAGCCGCCAGCTGACCCGGACATGGAATGTGGACTCTGCACATCTAGACGAGATGTTATCAACAATCTTCTTGAAGAAAACAGACAGCTGAAGCGTGAGCTTGATACGTACCGGATGAATGAAAACTTTCTGAGTGGTGATGATAACACAGTGAAGTATTACACGGGGCTTCCAAACTTTGCATTGTTCCAGACACTTCTACTCTACCTAACTCCAGATCTGCCTCAAGGTAGAATGAAGAAGCTCTCACCCTTCCAGCTTGTCCTATTGACTTTAATGCGCCTCAGACTGGACCTTCCAATACAGCACCTCAGCCATCTGTTTAGAGTACATAGGACAACAGTCGCCGATGCCTTTCACCATACCCTTGGTGTGATGTACGCACAGCTGTGTCCATTGGTGCACTGGCCAAGTAGGGAATGCTTATTGACCAGTATGCCACACCAGTTTGTGGAGTCATTTGGGAACAATGTGGCTGCCATTGTGGACTGCTTCGAGGTGTTCATCGAGAAACCTTCCAATGTACTAGCAAGGGCACAGACTTTTTCTCAATACAAACACGCATACACTATGAAATACCTAATCGTGATCACGCCCCAGGGTATTATTTCCTTCATATCGAACGGGTGGGGTGGGCGCACAAGCGACAAGCATATAACCGAGCAAAGTGGTTTCCTGAACAAGCTGTTACCAGGTGACATTGTGCTGGCAGATAGAGGCTTTAATATAAGAGAAAATGTGGGCATGATGTGTGCTGAAGTGAAAATACCTACATTCACCAGGGGTCGTGCTCAGCTTGAGGCGAAAGATGTGGAGGAGACTAGGGCCATAGCACATCTCAGAATTCACGTGGAGAGGGTGATCGGTGTTGTGCGCAACAAATTCAAATTCTTACACTCAACTGTACCTGTGCACATGCTTGTCAAATGTGAGGGTGAAAACCTAATGCCTTTGGATAAGATTGTCATTGTTTGCTGTGCCTTAACGAACATGTGCAAAAGTGTTGTTTGAGTACCTTATTCTTTACTGTATCTTTTATTTTTAAATAAATGCATGAAACAACTTGATATGGTTTACCAATATTTATTGAGAAATGAATATTTTTTTTGTTACAAACGTGTGCAGTCAAAGTACTGTTTCCAGCATGTAAACATGCCCAACATAGGTAAAAATGATAATAAGAGTCATACTTTTCTTAGTGCAAAGGGACACAAAACACTGCTAAACAACGTGTGCATTCAAAGTACTGTTTCCAGCATGTAAACATGCACAGCATAGGCAAAAATGATCATAAGAGTCATACTTTTCTTAGTGCAAAGGGACACAAAACACTGCAAAACAACGTGTTCCTGTACGGTCCCTTCTCTTTCGCCTTATCTCTAAGCATTGTTTTACTGTCTTCCTTTCCCTTGTTGTATCAGTAGATCCGTCTCTGTCTCGCCGAAAACGTAAATGCGTATAATTTAAAGTGCTCTGGAATATGAGGAGCGCGTGAAATTCTGGGGGCGTGCCCCCGTTGCGCAGCCAATATGTCCGACAGGCTCAGAGCCCCCCCCAAATCACCCCAACTCGGCACGTGACTCCTCATTCTCAGCTAGCTACTACAGGCAACATTTTGGGAAAATATGTTTTCCCCCTTCACAATCTTGAAAATGGAATCTCTGGCTGGTTAGGCTACAGTCATGGCTCCAAAACGAGGGATGGAATGGGAAAATTATAGAAAAAAGAAATAAAAACTATGGTGACCCCCCTATAGTAATTGGAAATCATCACATGATAGTAATTCCATAATAATGGATTTCTGTCTGCATTAACTGAGATATTTTATTTCCACCTGATAAGTCAGTTACTTGCATCATATCTGACAATATCAAAACAAAAACACCTGGATGATGTAGAACAGGGGTGTCATATTTTGGTTGAGGGGCGAATAAAAAAAGAAAGGGCTGGTCAGGGGCCAAAACATTTTTTAATAAAGGTTTCCTTTATTAAATTTATTTGGAATATGAAGGTATCTATATAAATGACTTTTCTAATTAGAATTTGTTAGTTACTGTGGACTGAACCAAAACTGGACCAAGTATTGAGGCAGGGACGTGCAGTCAGGGGAGGCAGGGGAGGCAGAGCCTCACCTGCCATTATTGGAAACTAATAATTATTTTAGTTTAAATATATAATTTATATCCACTGTCCTATGCTTTTAATGTATATTCGGCACGGTTCCCATCAGTTTTGATCATTTCTGAAGTCAAAATCGCCGAAATCCCGTTATTCCTATTCAAAGAGATGAGGTGAGGCAGCGCTCCTGCGTGCCTCACCCCAGACCGCTCCCTCACAGTGTGTGTGTGTGTGTCTGAGTGCACTCAGCTCGTGCAGTTGATATATCACCGTTTGTTTCAAATATCCTGCTTTAAAAACATTTTTTAAACTCCTCTTAGTGTTTAGTAGTGTATTGCACGTATGTGTGTACAATTTATATTTAGTTTAAGTCTTTTGATCGTAGATGAACACACAAGGAAAAAGCTTGGCGTGAGGCAGGCGGTATCTGTGCCTCACCGCTAGGGGTGATAGTGAGCATAAAGTTCATACCAGAGTTGCTAACAAACAATCAGCCCAAAATGCTATTTCTTTTGCTGGAAAATGGATGATTTGAATGAAGATTTTTTTTCTCAATTGGACTTTCAAACAAAGAAAGAATTAATATAGACTGGGAGACCACCACTGGACTTACGAGGTTAGTCCGGCTGCGGGGGAGGAGTTTGTTAATCTGTGTTTTATGTTGAACATTGACAGATACCGGCAAAGTAGTGCTTTTCCGAAAAACACTGATTCAAACACTGCTCAAGAGTTCTGCAACTTGTTTAAATTATTGTTTATGTTCCTCGCGTCTCTCTCTCCTCGCGTCTCCGTCTCTCTCTGCTCCTCGCGTCTCCGTCTCTCTGCTCCTCTCTGTCTCTCTCTGCTCCTCTCTCCTCGCGTCTCTCTCTCCTCGCGTCTCCGTCTCCTCGCGTCTCCGTCTCTCTGCTCCTCTCTGTCTCTCTCTGCTCCTCTCTCCTCGCGTCTCTCTCTCCTTGCGTCTCTCGCACCTGCGCTTCTTAAAGATGTTGTTTGATGCGGAGCAGAGTCAGCAGCTAGATTTGTTGTGAGATTATTAAAAGAAGCTGGTTCTCTTATCTTTACAGTATATAAAGTTTGTGGATGTCATTGCATTAGCAATGCAAGATTACATTTTTTAAATTACCAAATCAGATTTAATTCAGCACAGTATTTTCCAGCTCAGTAAGAGGAATAAAACAGTTTTTGAATTATGAAAATCGGATAAGTGGTTATGATTTTATTACCATATTGATAAGTGCTTTTAGGCGCTTATAGTGAAAGTAATTTGGTTTAAAACAAAGGGATACTGTGGAACCTTCTATTCAGCCAGTTCAAGCCTTTATTCATCTTCTAAGTGCTGTAACTTCCCTATTTTACTAACTATAGACATTAAAATCCACAGTAAAGAAGGAAACAATTCAGGGATGTTGAATTCGATATTCATTTTACAATTGGGCCGACCCCGATTCCAATATGGCCGCCAGCTTATCCAAGATGGCTGCCAACAGGAAATCCGGAAAACATTTTTTTCAAACTACTATGTAATATATCAAAATAAAGGTAATTGATGGAGCAATCTAAATATGATGCTTAGAAATGTGTTTTGGCATATACATGAAACAATTGATCTATTTCTACATATACATCTTTCTCCAAATTCCATGAACGAAGAGAGGCATCTGGGATAATAGGTACGTTGTCATGAAAGATGAACTTTGGGTCCACACTCGTTTTGTCTGAGCCTGATGGCCATTTAAACACAGAAATCGAACATCAGATGTGCCATCAGTATTGACACCAAGAACAGTTCCTATGTACCACACATCTGGATCACTATAAGCTACTGCTATGAAATTGCTAACTTGAACAACAGCAGTTTTTAATCTTTTAGCTGCTTCCTCATATTCTTCTCTGAAAAAAGAATAAAACATCTTAAAACATGTGTTATTGATTAGACTAAAGTAGAGCTGCAACTAACGATTATTTTGTAATCGATTAATCTATCGATTATTTTTACGATTAATCGAGTAATCGCTTGGCTGTGAATTGTGTAGAATTTTTTTAATTTTTTCATCACAAAAAGCTAAAGTGGCAACACTCGAGGACGTATTGATGGCGTAAACTTAAAGTAAATGTTTGTAACAGGCTCTTTGTGCTAATTCTGCTCTGATTGGATGAGACAGACAGATATTCATGAAATTATAAAACCAAAGTCGGTTTTAATCAAAAATACTACATTTTCATGTCATTTTTGCTCTGTTTGAGCCCGTGTGAACCAGAAAACGATTAATCGATTACTAAAATAGTTGTCGACTATTTCAATAATCGATTAGTCGTCGATTAATCGATTAGTTGTTTCAGCCCTAGACTAAAGTTAGACCCCAGCTTAAAACATGTAATTGATGGGACTAAAGTTACAGACCCCAGCTTTAACATGTTATTTATGAGACTAAAGTGACAGACCCCAGCTTTAAACATGTGTTATTTATGAGACTAAAGTTACAGACCCCAGCTTTAACATGTTATTTATGAGACTAAAGTGACAGACCCCAGCTTTAAACATGTGTTATTTATGAGACTAAAGTTACAGACCCCAGCTTTAAACATGTGTTATTTATGAGACTAAAGTTACAGACCCCAGCTTTAAACACGTGTTATTTATTAGACTAAAATTACAGACCCAAACTTTAAACATGCGTTATTTATTAGACTAAAATTACAGACCCAAACTTTAAACATGCGTTATTTATTAGACTGAAGTTACAGACCCGAGGTTTAACCCAAACCCTCTTGTTAACACGTAAGATGGATTTGTCCAACCAATGGCATTGGTCCGTCTGGGCCACGTGACTCGCGTGTCTCCCCCCCTGAAAAGTGGACTCGCCCGAACTTGCCTCCCGCTTCAGCAACAGAGCACAGTGTGTGATGAGCGCGGCGGTCATTCAACTTTATTCACTGATCCGCGGGTCAAAACAACCGTGACATGATTCAAATAAACCATAATTATAAAGCTTATAATATCAGATGTATGTGTGTGGTGTTGGTTTCCCAAAATTCCGGTTACTTACCATGTATTTTGCTCTTAAGTTCGTCAGATCATATCTCCGTAACCACAACAGCTGGAGAGATGCCGCTTTCACCGTAATGCGTTGTAATAAGAAATCTGTTTACCCCGGAAATATCACGTCGCGGCGACGTAATTAACCCCCGCGGAATGCCGAGGATATCCCGACTGATTTTTTTTCCAAGGCCAGACTATCTGTTGCCCACTCGGCCTCATGTTCGTCAACTTTATTAATTCATATCTCAGGAAATAAACGGAATATCAGAACAATACACACACTTATGGATTCTATGAATAAAAATGCGTTTATTGATTGTGGTGGCAACTATATATTCCGATTATTTAGCTGCTCAGAGTCATATGAACTGAAGTGAGTAAGACGGTGACCTCTTTTCACCACAGAGTGTCCACTGAGTCTTGTATTACTACTATCACTAGAGGGAGGAGTCAAATTTGTTTGTTTTTTGGCTGGATCAAAAAACTAATCTGTTTTTGATTAGGGAACAATGTTTTATCAGAATCGGAATCATTTTTATTGCCACCTACACTACCGTTCAAAAGTTTGGGGTCACCCAAGTGTTTTCCATGAAAAGTCACACTTATTCATCACCATACGTTGTGAAATGAATAGAAATAATTATTTGTTTTTGAAATAAGATTTATTTTACATCCAACTTTGCTTTCGTCAAAGAATCCTCCATTTGCAGCAATTACAACATTGCACCAAAAACCAGACATTTACAGGTAGAATAGTCATTTACCACATTCGCAAAGTATAGTGTATTTCTTTACAGTTAAGACTAGTTTCAAGTTATCTACAATGCTTTTCCTTCAAAAATAAGTACATTTCAATGTGACCCCAAACTTTTGAACGGTAGTGTAAGTAACAGGAAGTCACAGACTTGGAAATTGCTTTGGCTCGGTGCAACAGTCAGAAAGAGAGTTAAGGGTAGAGAGGCATAATACAAAATAAAGAATAAAAAAACACTTCTAAGGAATAAATTAAAAACTCTCGTCACGCTCAAAATCTAAGTGGTCACAAATGGCCCACTAACCGTGGATCCAAGCCGGTCCTGTGTGGATTGCTGTTGATCCAGTTTTAGCTTCTGGGATTGTTGGGAAGTGGGTCAAGGTTCGACTGGATCATAGTCGTGTCTGTCCTGGGGCAGAGGAGAAGTCTGGGCACATTCAGGAAACTTGAGACGAGTGACGCTAGCGCTAATGAGACACTGAGGCAGCTAACACAATGATAATAGTGATTTTAACCAAGTCTCCTGGATGATATTGGTTTCTCTGAATTCTAGGGAAAAGTCTTAAAAACCAGATTTATATTTTCTGTGTGGTCCAGTTTGTCTCGTCTGCTTTATATATATTTACAGAGAATTGGTGCAAAAAGATGTGATAATTTTGATCAAAAAGTGTCATGTCTCTGTGCAGGTTTTACAGCCATCACGGCCACGAACCCCATCTGGCTCATAAAGACGCGACTGCAGCTTGATGCCAGGTAAAGTATTCACATGGTGCAGTAGTAGCAGTAGCAACAGTAGTAGCTGCGGCAGTAGCAGTAGTAGTAGCTGCGGCAGTAGCAGTAGTAGTAGCTGCGGCAGTAGCAGAAGTAGTAGTAGTAGTAGTGGCAGTAGCAGCAGTAGTAGTAGTATTAGCAGCAGTAGCAGCAGCAGCAGCAGCAGTAGTCGTAGCAGCAGTAGCAGTAGTAGTAGTATTAGCAGCAGAAGTCGCAGCAGCAGCAGTAGTAGTAGTAGCAGTAGTTTTTGGACACTGAAAGACGCTTTATGCAAAAATCAACATTGAAGACCAAAACTAAGCCAAGGCTGAAACAGGTGGGTTTGGAAAAGTGATTTTTGGTTCTGTAGTGACTTTCTGATGGTTGTGGGAGTGAGTTCCAGAATCTAAAGACCCTAGAATTCAGATTCATGCATTTTCGTTGTTCTTTCTTGGTTCTCTCTCGTCCGCTCTAATCTGCACATGGTTGATTGGTCAGAGCACTTGCGTGTTTCGCCTCAGCCTTTGTGGAAGTTTGTGGGAGTGTCATAAACGTCGCACCTTCTGCACAAGACCAGGAGAACCAGAGGTAGAAATGTGTCACTATTATTTCGGCGTCCATGTTGAGACCGTACACCAATGAGCACAGGCCATTGATTTGAATGGACCGAGATCTTGTGTCGCCGGGCCTGGTCTTTCTCTGGCCTCTCTCTGGTCTTCCTATAGCCCCTTTGATCTCTTTTTAGTAGTATAGAATTAGCAGCTCTATTTTACAGTCTTATTATAATAATAATAATAATAATAATAATAATTATTATTATTATTATTATAATACTAATACATCAAATTTGTATATCTGGCAACCTGAGTCAGGGAGAGGCTGTTTTAACTTAAAGGAGCATTATGTAAATGGAAGAGTGGTTCTTGTTGTCATTTACATAATGCTCCTTTAAGTTAAAGTTTGTATCATTTACAGAAGGTGTGCAAGAATAGTTTAAACCATAAATCTCTGCATAAGTTAGCATGAGACTAGCTTAACCCAATGGCGTTTGTTTTGAATTGTTAACTCTAACTCTTTTTCTTGTGTAAAACCGTGGCGGTGCAGGAACCGTGGCGAGCGGCAAATGAACGCGTTCGAGTGCGTGCGGCGCGTGTACCGGGCGGACGGCTGCCGGGGCTTCTACCGGGGCATGTCGGCCTCGTACGCCGGCATTTCAGAGACTGTGATCCACTTTGTGATCTACGAGAGCATCAAACGGAAGCTGCTGGAGGCCAAGGCTCCGCCCATGGACGACGACGAGGACTCTTCCAAAGACGCCTCAGACTTTGTGGGAATGATGCTCGCCGCCGCCACGTCCAAGACCTGCGCCACCACCTTAGCTTACCCTCACGGTGAGAGATGTTCTCTATTTACCGTTTTATCTGCTAAAGCTGGGCTACAGAATCATTTTATTGACATTTGCAAAATACACTTCATCCGGGGTCTCCAACCTGTAGCTCGCCAAAGGATTTAGAAATGAAGAAATCCAATTATACACTTAATATTTCAGATTTCAGATTCACTTTGTAAGTAAGTAATCTTTATTAGTAAGTAAGTAAGTAAGTAATCTTTATTTATATACCGCCTTTTCACTGCACATCGGAGTCTCAAAGCGGTTTACAATTGTGATTTTTGGGAGTGGGGGTGCCAGTACAGGAGGCACGTGCCATACCTATTGTACATATTTTTAGTGGTAGGGGAAACCGGAGCACCCGGAGGAAACCTACGCAGACACGGGGAGAACATGCAAACTCTACTCAGAAAGGCCCTGGTCCAACCGGGATTCAAACCCAGGACCTTCTTGCTGAGAGGCGAGAGTGCTATCCACTCAGCCACCGTGCTGCCCATTTGTCATTAGTAACACATATGCAATGGTAAAAAATGACTGTATCCATATCAGCCTCGTTCACACCAATGCATCACCAAATTACCAGTACCAGTGAGTAGCTCTCTGCCTTTATCGTCCCGGGAAAGAAGGAGCTCGCTGCCTTAAGTTTTGGTATCCCAGCTTTAACTGTATTTGTTTATTGTATTGATAAAACGCTTGTGAAAAAAAGCCTTGAAAAATGTATACAATGAAATATAGAACTGTTAATGACAATGGAAAAGGGTCTCGATTCTAACTCTCTAGGTGGACCTTTTTACTAGGCCCGAAACTAATTCTATTCTGCCGAATGACTCTTGTCAAGTTGCTTTTACGAGTTTTATAAATGAGATCCCTTGTCAGCAGAGCAACACCAGCAGTTCCAAAGTGACTGAAGTGAAATGTGGTTTTGAAAATAGACCACAGATAAAAAGGGACTGACAAAGGGGCAGCCAAATCATTTCCACTCTAAAGTTGCCATGACCTGTTATTCCTTCTCCAGACTGCAGGGGGCAGAGTCGGTTCAATGCTCTTCTCTTCTATAATCATAATAGTTTAAAGTCAACATTACATCACATGAATTGTTTTGGCATTTGTTTTATCACAAAAGTCATCACTGTATCTTTATATAAACAGAGAGAAAAACTGTTAATGGAGAAACATTGCATTGATTGCCTTAATGCAGAAGAGGCTAATTTAAACATTAGTTCCAATGAGGTTAGCTTTGCTTTGTAGCAGGGGCAGACATGCTGCTAACACAGTGGCTAAGACAAGATGGAGTTTCACCCACGAATGAAGGAATCTGATTGGGATTTTATTTTGATGTTGTCTTTGGTAATCCAGATAATGAGCCTCATCTGGTCTAGACAGATGGATACTGGTAGATACTGGGATAGATACTTAGATACCGCCCTAAGTTGGTTTAGGTCTTACCTTGAAGACAGGAAGTACTTTGTGGAGATTGGAAACTGTGTCTCAGATCATATGGCCCTGACCTGTGGAGTACCACAGGGGTCGATCCTGGGACCTCTTCTTTTCAATCTCTACATGCTGCCGTTAGGTCAGTTAATACGCAGAAACAAAGTGTCCTATCATAACTATGCAGACGACACTCAGATCTATGTCTCACTGACTGCAGGAGAACATGGACCAGTGGACTCACTCCTTCACTGTATCCAACAGATCAGTGAGTGGATGCAAAACAACTTCCTTCAGCTAAACGCAGACAAAACTGAAATGATTGTCTTTGGTCCCCAGAAACAAAGAGAGAGCTTCATCTGTCACCTACAGTCTCTCTCCCTAAAACCTTCAAACAAGGTCAGAAATCTAGGGGTAATACTGGACTCAGACTTAAATTTTAATAGCCACATCAAATCAGTAACATCAGCAGCTTTTTACCATCTAAAAAACATTTCCAGGATCAAAAACATAGTGTCTAAAGCAGACTTGGAGATTCTTATCCATGCATTTGTCTCCAGTAGGTTAGACTACTGCAATGGCCTGCTCACAGGTCTGTCCAAACAGGCTGTAAAACAGCTGCAGTACATTCAAAATGCAGCAGCTCGAGTCCTGACTAGAACCAGGAAGTACGACCATATTAGTCCGGTCCTCAGGTCTCTGCACTGGCTTCCTGTGGCTCAGAGAATAGACTTTAAAACAGCTTTGCTTGTGTACAAGTCTCTCCATGGCCTCGCACCAAAATATATTAGTGACATGTTAGTCCCATATGAACCAGCCCGGACTCTGAGGAGCACAGGGACTGGACTCCTGTTAGTGCCCAGAGTCAGAACTAAACATGGGGAGGCTGCTTTTCAGATTCATGCTGCTAAAATCTGGAACATTCTTCCTGAAGATGTGAGACAGGCCTCCTCTCTGACTATGTTTAAAACCAAGTTAAAAACTGTGCTGTTTAGCTGTGCATACAACTGAGGGATTTTATATTTTTATCTTTCTTTTTAATGTTCTGTGATTATTTATGATTTTAATGCTATCTTGTTCAGCACTTTGAGTTGCCTTGTGTATGAATTGTGCTATACAAATAAACTTGCCTTGCCTTGCCTTGCCTAGATAGATACTTAGTTCCTTGGCTAGATAGATCCATACATAGATACTTACATAGATATTTACTTAGATAGATACTTGGATAGATGCATAGATAGATGCATTACTGATCCCTGTAAGAGAATTTCAGGTGTCCAGTAGCAGCAGAAAACACATTTAAATAAATATAATTCTAGAAGTTGCTAAAAATAGTATTAAAATCCAACAGCAGCAGAGGTGGTGTAGCCGCTGGGTGGAGCAGGACAGACCTGAGGCCACTGTCACATCACCACTTTTTGGTTTTATAATGGTACAAAAATAACTGAGACTGTCACTGGTTTGTCCGCAGAGGTGATCCGGACGAGGCTACGCGAGGAGGGAACCAAGTACCTCTCCTTCTTCCAGACTCTAACCACAGTCCCCAAAGAAGAGGGCTATCGGGCTCTGTACCGCGGCCTCACCCCGCACCTGGTCCGGCAGATCCCCAACACCGCAATCATGATGTGCACCTACGAGTTTGTGGTCTACCTCCTCAACGGATAGGACGTCTTCCCTTTTAGACTGTGTGTGTGAATGTGTGTGCGAATGTGTGTGCGAATGTGTGCGTGCAGGTGTGTGTTAGCTAATCGTGTTGGCGATGGAACAGACTGAGACATTTTAAGAACGGCTGCCATGGACATGAAGACGCACACTGGTGTCAAATGGTTGTGCTAAAACGTTTGGAAGCTAACGGTGATGCTAACACGGGCTAAGAGCTAGCATCCAATTTGTTTCCGGTGCTGGTTTAAAATCGGCTCGTTTTTTAAAGTGTAGTTTGGTGGAAATCGTCCCTGTTCAAACATTTTTGTTACTCAATTTTCAAAACCCAGGCCTGGAGTTTTAAAGGACACATATGCTAAATTTAGTGTCACAAAAAAGCGCGTTTTGTGACATGGTGTTCAAATATCAAGATACAAACTAGAATTGTCTTTTCGCCATCATTTACACAAACAAATTAGTGTTTACAATCATTCATGCATGTCTAGCACCGGCACTCTTGCTTGAAAGGGGAAAAATATCCACTTATCGCTTGCTTTATCTGCGGTTGAGCTTGCAGGGGTTTTGACCGGTCTCGTTCTCGTTGATATATTAATTTGCAGAGCAATAAGGCAGCACTGAATACAAAAATATTTTTGAATATTTATTTCTAGATGTGATTTTATTTTTTTCAATATCGACATTATGAGTTTGCTTTACACATATATCGATGAGTGTCATGGATTCTCACGGTTAAGCAGAAGCATGGTACGTCTTCTTTAACACGTGCAGAGGACAATCATATTTGCTGCCCTGTTGGAGCCCTAATGCCTACATCATAAGGAGGAAACTTCTTACTGCGGTAAAGCCATTATCTATATGTGAATAACTATTGCGAGTTCTCAAACATGAAAACCCAAAACAAAGCTACTTAAAGCTGCGGTACCTGACTTTGTAAAGAAATAGTTTGTCCCGAGAGACGGCGTCAAATCAGACCACAACTTCCTGTTTATATCTATCTATCTTTTTTTTATTACATTGTTATATTTTTGTCGTGGTTTGAAAGTTGCGTACCCCAGCTTTAAGGGCATGTTTAATCCCATAATCTTAACAAAATTATATAAAATGTGTCCTTTAATCCAGTGTTCCCCAACCTTGTCTCGACCAATAAGTTGTTCATAGGATCATTTTCAAAGACACACCAACGTGAAGCGGCCCTCTGGTTGAAAAACACTGGTTTAATTCAGTAACCATGACAACCACTGCTTCTTCTGATTGATCCAGGCTCAAAGCTAAACGAAGATTCCACTTTTTGTGCATATTTTAAACCCAAGTTCAAGGGACGATTCCACCAAACCTCTGCTATAACACAAAAAAAACACACAATTCAAACTTCTGGCTTCTTTCATCTATTCTGTGCATGTCGTAAAAACCCAGACGGGGTTTTTTTTCTCCGCAGAGACTCGTTCAAACAAAGCTTGAAAGACGTGCCTTGTGTTGAAACTACAGAGATATAAAGTTGGTGTGTGCGTGTTTGTTTGTAGAGTCGTTATTTTGCTATTGTTGTACACTGGTGTAATGGTGCTTGGAGCGTATACACTCAGAGAATGACGGTCCGGGTCCAAACTGGCTTGAAATTCAAAATACTGGTGATGTGAGTGGGGTTAAAGCTGCGCTACGTAACTTCCCCGGTTGGAGATTTAGCTTAATGTTTGGGGCTGTCTACATATTTGCCTGGAATGTCGCTCAGTTGGGAATTAAAGCTGGTCTCTCTACTCAATGTAAGTATACAGCTGTTGAAATATCCAATTAAAACTAAAATATCATTCCAATCAAAGCAATAATCTCCTTGGCTCAAGACAGACCCCTGAAGGAAAGTTGATGTCTGTATGTAACGTACTAGAACTCCTAGAGCAGTCCTTTTGGCGGCTCCCAGTTAAATAAGTTTTCCAGCTGTTTCCACTTCCAAATGCTAACCATAGTAAATAATGTATTGCTATAGTAGCTAGCTGCTACTCGGCTTACTCGACTCAAAACTAGGGATGTAAATCGGCGACCGTTTAACCGGTGGTTGACCGTCACAGCGTTAACCGGTCAAAGCTGTCGGTTAAAAAAAGAGAAAAAGGGGAGAGGGGAGGTCTCTTAATAACGCTATTTTAAGCCCTATTTGCACGATGTGACGAGCGGGTCTGTATCTGTGTGCGCCCCTGTATTATAAACTCCGGGACGACTCTCAAGCCGCACGAGCCACATATGCACACACACACACACACTTTCCCCCGCTCCATACGTAACATCCACACGCATCATCTCTCCCCTCTGTTACCGTCAAAGTTGCACACTGGCGCGGGTCAGAACTACATTGGAGCTTACATTTACACACACACACATATACATACACACACACATACATACACACATACCGGTCTGTCGCGCTCCTCTGTGTCACGGAGCCCAAAGGATTCGCGCAAATACGCGGCTCCAGTCAAACCACATGGAACATGTTTGTGTTTATGGTCCTCGGGATCAGCTCCACACACATCACTTGTATTTAAACTTTTGTGAAGACCTGTGAGACGCGGCTCGTCACTCGCTGCTCTGACCATGTGAACGAGCCGTCGTTTGCTGCTAGAAAGTTTTGGTATTAACCCGCAGCACAGCAGAATGGGAAGATTAAAAAAGCAGTTCTCTGTGCGCAAAGGTGCCGGAGCTGTTGTGGGTTTTGGCGCCGCTGTCTCAACTCTGATCCAGTAGAACGCTCAGCTGCACTTATGAAAAGTACGTGGCTCGAAATGGCTGTTATTTCAAAGAACGTGGACTATTTTAAACTACGCGGTTAATCGGTTTCAACCGGTTAATGAGGCTCGGTGGTCGGTCATGAAAATTCATAGTTTTTTACATCCCTACTCAGAACCCAGTCCAGTGCAGTCCAGGACCAGTACCTTGAAGAATTTGAATTTTACCTTCAAGTAATGAGAGGTAAAGTTGGAAGAAAATGTAATATGAAGACCTAGAATGTACATGTTATGAGTAATCACATTTCCAAAAGCAGTCAAATTGACTGTGTCTATAAAACAAAAGTCTAAGGCTAATGTAATTTCTCTTGTTTTGCTTTGCTGGACAAGACATTTTTAAAATTTAGCTTAAACTGTATACAATTTATTTCTATGGTAGCTAGCACTCGGCTAACTCTACTCTGATCCAACAGAAATGGCTAAACTTATAGAAAATTCCATAAAAATAATAACCAATAAGACCAAGAATGTACATGTGCTGAGTAATCCAAAACTAAAAGCCGTCAATTTGACTGCTCTGGGAGTTCTTGTGTGAATAGCCTTTTGTTTGTAGAAATGAATACAATGTAATTTCTTCTTTTTTTGCTTCAAGTTGGAACACACTGGACCAGACCTGTTTTAAAATTTGCTTAAACTACATCACAACTCCTCAAATCCACCGCAGTTCACGATTTCAAGTCAATTCTCCTGCTTTTCTGTCATTTCAAAGTGTAGAAATGCTGTAGTTTATTGTAAAACTTATATTCCCCCATCCTTCCCACAAGCCGAGCCAACAGACGGCTTCCAAACCAACTTCCTCAATCGCACAACTGGGGGAAAAAGAAATAGCTGAAAATATATCTGCTTGACTCTGGTTTAAGGCGAGACACTACAGGTTTTTTTTTTTTTTTTTTATATATATATTTTTTCTCTCACAACTTTAGATATGTTTATGCATCAATTTGTGTTTTGATGGATCGCACTCACAAAATCAAAATGTTATCCAAAATCCAGCCAATTCTTTTGGTTTCATGTGTATGTGTTAGCAGGACTGTTACTGTTGGACCGACCCATTTCTCGGATCAATGTCTAAAAGTTTATTATAAATTTTACTTTGTTTTGAAACTTCAGTGTCGCGCCTTAATCCACAGGAGTCAGAGAGAAAGACTAAACCAGGAAGAGAACTGTTAAAGATGCACTATGTAACTTCTCCGGTAAACATGTATATTATTACTTCCTGGTATCCATGGCAATGATGTGGCTTTAGCTCGGAATCTTTCGCTCTTGTGTCTTATCGGCCTGAACGATTAACAGGCAAATAAAAAAAATCCTATTTTCCAGTCCTTCAAAGAGAATAGATTTTGGTTTTGGTCGTATTAAACGCATTAGGTTCTTCTATACCAGACAATGGGTTAGCTAAACTCATGCTAGCATCAAACGTGTCACGGTAATAACACCGCTAACCTAATATAGTCTGGTATAGACAAAGCTAATGCTATAAATTCAAATGAGAATGTTTAAAATGACTTTTCTTATTGTTTTGACTATTTCCCACATATTTAAGTCATTCAGGTTCTTTAGATAAATGTGATTGTGTCAAAACAAACATGCAAAGAATAGGAATATTATTGTTTTTTTAGTTCTCCTGGTATTTGAGTCCTGTTCATACAAAACTGGGGAAATTAGAAAATCATTCAAAAGTCCATCCACTTTAATTCAATTCAATTTCAACTCCTTTCTGAGTGGAATTTGCATGTTCTCCCCGTGTCTGCATAGGTTTCCTCTACCATTAAAACATGTACAATAGGTCTGCGCCTCCTGTACTGGCCATCTCTGTGTGGGGTCAGAGACAAATGCCCAAAAGTAACAATTGTAAACTGCTTTGACTCTTGTCTGTGAAAGGTGCTATATAAATAATTATTACTTACTCAACTGCAGTCGTCTCGGAGAACTTAACTTGACGATTCGCCAACAGCAGATCAGAGAATCATAGAGTTTGAAACACAGGGAATTCAAAATGACAAACACAAACAAGCCATAGGAAGAGGGAAGACCAATGTTTATATAAATGTGAAACTAGTAAATGTCAGATTATATGATAAGTAAGATTTGGATATATTTAATAATTGACTCACACGTTGTTGAAAACCTCGGAGTATTTTTGATAATGCCAGATTTGTAAAAATAAGAAATCTCATTCATCAAAATTATAACATACTTTGCATGTGATGAGTTTATTCTGCTTTCACACAA